GAAGATAATAAATTACCCATAAATCCTTCTTAATTCAGAATGCAAAGCCACCACAGAAACCTATAAAAAACACAAATTTACTTACCTGGGATTGAGATATGCACAGAAGAACATATACACACATGCATATGCAAACATATTTATACATACACACATACAGAATGATATGAATTTTATGCATAGATTTCCCCATCAATATGTCTCTTCTTACCCTAGACTATACATTTATATGCATGCACACATATAATGCTTCAGTTCTTAGAAACAAGCACAAACTAGTAGCACCTCCAAATTATTGACCAGATAGGGTCTAAACCCAGTGGGCTACTGAAGTGTCCAAAACCGCAATCTTTCTCAGTTTTCCCAATAGCTTTAACTCAGAAATGTTCTGTCCTGTTTAACTATTGCTTCTCCTCTGCCTCTTCTATTCTAGCCTTCTTGTACTCCTCATTATCACATTTACCCAGGACCCACTGGCAACTGCCCTCACCTTTACTCTGGTTTCTTCCCTTTGGTTGGTTGGCTATTGGTTGGTTTGTTGACTTTAGTTCCATTTTTGCTTTAAGATTTATCCTTTACTTGATCTTCCAAATTACTAGCCTGAATCTTTCAGATCATAGCATCTGCTTAGAAAGTATTTTGGGAGGCTACCTTTTCAGAGGATTTGCTGATCTTCCGGTCAAGCAGTATTTCCCAGGCAGCACCACTTGGTTCCCCTTGTTCTTGATCTTGGCCTGGTGGTTGTAAGGTGTCCTTTCTCGTGCTGCTCTTTTTCTGTTCTTTGGGGCCCTGCCTAGCTGCTGGAATTCCTGTGGAGCCTAAGGCCTTGACGGATGAGCTCCTTGCCAGCCCAGAAGCTGCTAGGCTCAGGGCTGGGGATGGAGAGGAAGTTGGATGAAGCCAGTCTGTGCCAGCCTCAGATGCCCTGGAGAGTGCTGAGAGCTGAACGTGGAAGCCATACTCAGCTGTATTTTCGTCAATTTTAGGTGCACAGTCAATGACCTAGATGCATGTGTGGTGTTTTAGTCACCACTGGAATGACCTTGTGCCTGTCCTTGAAAACAGCAGCTTCCTCTTCCTGAAGGCTCAATACCAGCCACACATCCCTACCTGCCTCCCAGAAGCCCAGCAAAGACCCCATGAAGGGTAACATGGTTGTAAGCCAGGTGCATCACTGCAATTGCCTACATCCCCACCCCACGTGCAAAGCCTGGTTTTGCTTTGACTAAGGAAATAGGAACAGAAGAGGAAACCACTTGAACAAATTAGAAATACATCTCTCTTTCCCAGTTTTTTTCCTTGCAACTTCAGCCCAAATCAACAGCCTCTGGTGAGTTTTATTTACCATCACTTTTGGACATTGGGCAAGCCATTCTCTTTCTGAACCTATTCTGTCATCTGTAAAATGGCAAAATAATACAGTAGCTTTACCACGGGGTTTTTGTGAAGACAGAGGAAAATGATAGCATATGATGTGAGAAACTCCTGAGGTATAAAAAGTGGTCAGTGAATGAGAGGAAGCAGAGAGACAACTTTTCTTGACTTTATAAATAAGCCAACCTCTTGGCAATTTCTGCTTTAAACTTCCCACACATCTCTTGCAGAGCAGAGAGTCTCTTTCCTGAGTTGTAAGCCATGGCCCTTAGCGTGGCTTGGGTAAGACTTTCCTCTGTCGTGAATATAAATAAAGTGAAGTGAACATTCTCCCCCGCTGAGCATAGGCCCCAGAGAGACTGGTGACTGTCCTGCGTCACTGTGGGGTCATGTTGACAGGCGGAGACACACAACACCCAGTGTCACACTTGAGGTCTAATTATAGGACCTTTAATTCACTGGCCTACTTCGGCTGGAACAGCCCCAGCACAGGACTAATAAAGCCTTGCATATTAACACTTGGGTTGACAGCCAGAGTGCTTAGCGAACACCTGACCAGTGCTAAGCACCAAGCATTAGGCAGAATCAACAGAAGTTAAAGAGGGGTCCCTGCTCCTGAAGAACTCATGGTCTGTGTGATTATGCTGCTGCCTCATTCTGCTTTAAAATGGATCTACATCCTCCCACACAATTTGGACGTGAAACTCTTTTTGTGTTTCTGGAGATTGAACTCAGAACCTCTCCAGACATTTTTTAGTATTTATTTTAAGATAGCGTCTTGCTAAATTGTTAAGTTATCCAGGTTGGGCTTGACTTTGTGATCCTCTTGCCTCAGCTTCTCAGAGAGCTGAGATTACAGGGATACACCATCATTCCTGGCTCAAACTAAGATTTCTTTTTTTTTAATTTTGCTCACTTGTTTGTTTTTAGAGACAGAGCCTCACTGTGTAGCTCAAAATGCACTTGAACTCACTGTGTAGCCCAGATTGACCTCCAAGTCATGGCAATCTTCCTGCCTCAGCCTCTGAGTGCTACAGTTACAGGTATGCACTGTCACAGTCAGCAACACTCGGGTTTTAATAACCTTGAGTGTTAGGTTACTCAGCCCTCTTTGTTTCATGGTTTAGGTCATTTAAGGCCTACAGAGTTTGACTTGTTCAGCAAAAATCCTATCATTAGAGGAAAATAATATCTGAAGGACAGTTTCCAAATTCAGATCTACTGAAGTTCTTTAAAATCCATCAACTTCTGGGTGCATCAGGCAAGGAGTATGTGACACCACTGAGTGGGGTGTGTGTCACATTTTTATCTCATCTTTTTCTTTTTCATTCCAGCATACAGACTCAGAAGAGAACCAACCACTTAAGAGAAAAAGAGACTCCTCCAAGAGAAAACGCTGGAGGGGACCTTGTGGGTCAGCAATCCCAGCACCCAGAGGGTGACACCCAGACCCCAGGGGTCTCTGGAAGCAACCTGCTGGCCACTATTAAGACATAGGAGCCCCAGAGCTGCTCTGCCTTGGACAGAGTGAGAGATCCATCCAAAAAAGCAGGAAAGAGGTGAGTTCACCAACAGAGGTACAGTGTATGGGATGTCCTTGTCCAAGGAATTAGAAGTTTGTAATAATTTTCTCAGTGAAATTCACCTAGAGACTCTAAGGTGCTGCCTTTAACATAATCCAAAAGGCCCTACCAACATGATCTCCTGTCCTGGGAACTTCATCTCACCCTCTCAACTCTACCTAAAATTAAATATGCAAGGCAGTGACCGGTCCCACAGCCAGCCACCCACAGGGTCCACTCCCTGCTCTGACACTAGCTAGATCCGTACCTTACACACACCTGGACCCACTCCAAACCAACTTCCTGTCTGCACAGTGAGGACCCTGAGTCTTCAGGAGACATTGTGAGCTGGTTGACACACTGGAGTGAAGGGCCAGGCATGAGACTGTCATCTACATATTATTTTCTTTTAAATAATATAATTTTTGCATGCATCCGTCAGATAGAATGCATGACTTCCAGTTATGTGGATCCAAAATATGAAATAATCTCATGTTTAAGCTTTTAAAATAAGCATTATGAAATCCAAATTAGATGGATATATATAGATTGAAATGGGTAAAGATACAGAAATAGACACAAGGATAAAGACAGAGATAGATACCCAGAGGTAGAGAGACATAGACAGACAGATCTGCTTTTTAAAAAAGATGTCAACTCTTCTAATCTGTTCCACCCTTGGAACTGGGTTCCCCAGGAACCCAGTGATCTCCTTTAAAGCAAAGAGCCATTCCTGGGCCCCTAACTAGAAGCCTCAGAAAACCTCTAGAGACCAATGGCTGCTTAGACAAAACCCTTCACTCTGGACCTCAGCCCTGGAGAGGGCATGATAATCACCCTGACTTTTCCTGCCATGGAAACTCAAGTAAAGTGTCACCTTCTGAACGAGTTAGCTCTCGAATGAGTATAACATCAGTGGCCTGCAGCAGGGGGTGTGATGAGTGTGAAACAGTTCACTTCTACAGCCCTCACAGTAGTACATGCCTGCAGTGTTTACAACAAGGGCTGTGTCTTTCATTCTGCCGCATCCAGTGAAAAACAAGCAACAAAATAACACACTTTGAGTTGAAAGAAACCTTTGAGTAACTCAGGTGTTGTGCCGCTGATTCTCTCCTCAGGGGAGAATACCATCCAAAAGACATGCTGAAGGTGATGCCTCACGCCCAGGCTGGTTGATCAGTCAGTGCACCACGTCCGCCTGCATCTTACGGGTGATGACTGAGTTCAGCCCGGTTCCCACCCTGAGCGGTGAGCAGAGGCCCTTGCTTTAGCTTTGGTTTGCAGGGACTTTGCCTTGCTGCCCAGCCTCAGAGCCCCCATGGCACTGCATGAAGGAAAGAATGGAGCCCTGTGCCACTTCTATTGGGGCAAGAGAAATAGTAAATTTTTAATTCTCATTTTCCGTAAAAAATTCCAGATGTCCATCTTTCAGCCACATGAACTAGGATTGTTTTTCCCTCTCCCTGCAGCAACCTCAGGCTCTTACAAGCATATTTTTCCCTTTGTGTATAATGAGCTGACATCAGAGAATTGTGTCCCATCACCAAAGTTCCTGTGTTATATTTGGAAACAGGGAGGAGGTTATTAGGATTAAATTAGATCCTAAGGGTGGGGCCTGAACCTCCAGGATTAGTGCCCTTGCAGAAGAGAAGACGGAGCATAGCTCAGGTACACAGAAGAAAGATCAGGTCAGGACATGGGGCTGGTGCCATCTATATAAGTCACAGAGAGAGGCCCTCCCAGAACCCAGGGCTGCTGACACTTTGATCTTGGACCTTCAGTTGCACCATTGTGAGAGAATAAATTCTGTGCTCAGACCACCCGGCCTGTCATATTCTGCTTTGGCCGCCTGTCCAGATGAAAACAGAGCCCAGAAGTGAGGGGAGCCCCCTCCCTCCCCTGAGGCTGACAGTGAAAACTCTAACTTATGCATCCATGAGGCTTGAGGGGCAGCCAGGTAGTTTACATTAGCAAAAGTGCATATATAACATATATATATATATATATATTATATATATCATACATACAAATATATGTATACAAAATATACATACAAAAAATAGATCTATGTATAATATACATTATATATAAATGTATATACAATATATAATAGATTATATATAAATATTAAAGACTACATTTTTGTAAAAGGCAGAAGAAGCGCAAGTGGATTTATTCCTATAAATGATCAAAGATAAAGTCTCCTCTCTCTCTCTCTCTCTCTCTCTCTCTCTCTCTCTCTGTCTCTCTCTCTCTCCTGTATTTTCCACTGAATTTTTAGTTAGAATGTAAAATCCTGGGAACAGCGTTTTGGTGTCCCCAAGTGTTCATTTCATTCACAGCAAATCAGCCAGAAAACCACAACAGCTACAAATCTATCATCATCGCCGCTCTTGTTCTCAAAACACGACAGTGCTGAGTCCTAAGATAAATCCATGTGCCAGGAATCCTATTTTTCAGAAGTCCAATAAAAATAACAACAGGAGATGACATCGGAGCCATGAGAATGTTTGCCCTCCTTTGCAAAGCAGAAGACGCTAACTTCCGCTCCACACCATTCCAACTTCCGCTCTTCACCAGCTCCAAGGACAACGCCAGCAACCGAGTCTGCAAAATACATGGCTGTTGCCAACATCAACAATCTCCCGTCCTCGGGGGAGTTTTCCTTCTTCACTTCCCAGCTTTGGAAAGCATGGGCACGCCAACACCTTCGGAGGACGCCATGGAACTGTCACTCGGTGAGGTGACGGTAGATAAGGATGCATTTTCACCCTTGTGAATAAGTAGATGCTACATACAGAATAGTGATCTCTTGTGTCAGCACATCCGTTGGGTCAGCTTCTGGCCTCTGAGTCATTTAAAGGCTTTGTGGGGAGCAGGGCTCCAGGGAAGTGTGCACTTAGGGAGCAGACTTTGGCACAAAACCAGCACAGACAGAATCCAATGGGTGTGGGGAGGAAACATCTGCTGCCCCTGGCAAAGCCGGTTTTGGGTTCCTGGCCTGCAGTGGCTCCTTACTGCCTCTTCTTCACTGTGGTGAAATCTGGTTTTTCCTGCTCTCATGGATTTCCCTGAAAGTAAGTAAGCTGATATCTCCATTTGCCTTGAAGTTTCAAACTGTCCTCTCAGATCTGGAGGGTGGGTCTTCCTTCAATAATTCATGGCTAACTGGGGTTCCAGTAATGTCACAACTGCTCCTCCAAAAACACCTGGGGCCTGGAAGGACACACAGCAGGGAGACAATAAATGGGTCCTGAGTCTCTCAAGTTTGGTTGCTAATCCAACGAAAGCCCTGGGGCTGTGTCCCTGGGGGCCTTTCATTCTGAGCCACAGTCCCTTCATCTGGAGCAGTCAGAGAAAACAGTCGCTGTTTATTAGTTTTTCTTTTTATTATGATAAGAACAATGAACCTGCAATTCTGTCTTTCAGCAAATAGAGTACAGCACAGCATTAGCTACCGATGCCACTCTGGGTCTCGCCTGCTGATCAGCAAGTGCGCCGATGAGTAACTCCTCGTTTCTTCCTCCCCTTGTTCCATGGCAAGCGCCATCCCACTCTTTCAGTCAATGAACTTCATTATTTTAGAAATTGATGTAAGTGCAATTGTTAGGGCTGATCCATTTGTGATTCGCACATTCTCGAGTTGTAAAATGATTGGAACATCAGTTAGCTTTGAATTACTGAAGTAAGAGCCACTTGTGAGATTTGCATGTGACCCAAAACAGCGGTTTACAGCCTTGGCTCTGTGGATCCATGCACACTGGAGCCCTTTTGGGGAAGATGGCACCTTGGGGCTTGTCTGAGTGTCCCTCCGTCTCATGAGACAGCCAGCACTAGGACAATCCTCAGGTACAGTAACGCAGTCTTCTCTACACACTGTAGATGCTGCTTCTGAGAACAAATGCGAGGTGTCCTTTGCTTTGTCTTTTTTTTTTCTGTCCAAAAATGAAATATCTACAAACTCTCATGACCTTTATCTTCACGAAGCTTCAGTCATAGATTTCCAGTGACACTGTGGTGTTAATGTGTCCACAGTCAGGTCTATGGTGACTATATTAACTGAGCAGATGCTATTATTAATTCTAAGAATAAAAAAGTTCAGGGGCGTTGGGGGGTGCGGCTCAGTAGTAGACAGCTCACTTAGCATGTGTAGCGCTGTTCCATTCCAACCCTTCCACAGACTGGAGACACCCCAACTTCAGATTTCAAGTCACCCAGTTGAAAGGTAGTAAACAAAGGTGATCTTGTTCATAGATCAAGCACTGACAGGGAGCTGGGAAGATGGTGGATCAGTAAGCAGCAAAATAAAAAGCCTCTCTGAGAGAAACAGCTCAGATGCTGGTATAAAACATCCTGGAGAGACCAGATGGAAGGGGATGGATCCTCTCGACCCAGGAAGAAACTAAAGGAAAAAGGGAAAAGAGGAGAGAAAAAGGGGGGGAAATAAAGAAAAAAAAGAAAGTTGTGGATGGAAAACTGTAGCCAGACGCACTTGCACTGCAGCTGGTTCCATTGTAAATGAAAAGCTGCTGGAATCCAAAAACATGTGGTCGAGGTGAAGCTGGAGGCTGGCGAGCCTAAGGGCCTCAGCAGGAGAATGCAGTTGCAGAGAGTGGCAGCAGCATGGAGAATAGTGCTCAGCTCAGAGATCCGTGCCAGCTCGTGGTGCTTGCAGGGAAATCGGTCCTCCCAAGGGAGTGGGTGACTGGCCGGGTGACATTTTGGAGTTGGGCAGGTTAAGCCCAGAACCAGAATGGCAGCGGCTTCACTCAGCCAACTCCTAGCACAGAGCAGATTGGTGAGAATTGCTTGGACTGAATCCTGCCCCTGTGCATGATCCAATAGCAAAGGACAAGGTCTCCCTGAAGTTATCCTTAACCAGCCCCGTTTGTGCAGCACACACTAATGTGGTGAAGACTCCCAGAGCTTGACCAGGTCAGAAGAGAGGGACCAGCCTGCCCCATCCCTACTTGTACTTCAGTGGTCATCAGCAGACAGGAAAGGGCAGCAATCCCTAGCCAGCACGCTACAGAGTAATCATAGCCAATACAGGAAGTGCCAGGGACCCCCATTATCCACTCCTCTGGAAGAAACTAGAAACATGACAAGAGGAAGAAACAAAAGGAAGTCTCCAACCCTCAACCCAAACAATACTGGCCCAAGAGAAATAAACACAGGAGAATTCAGGGGTTGCACACCTGCAGCACCTGAAAAAGCAGCATCTGGCATAATTATCTTTGTGACATTATAAAAGAACTCAAAACAGAAATTCTAATACAAGTAAAGGAAGATATAAGAAAAATAATAAAAGATGCTAAGTACCTGTCAAGAAGACACAGTGGAAGAATAGAGGAACATAGAAAAAGGAGAGAAACCTTTGGTGAAAAATATTTTAAAAAATCAAACAGGCTCAAAGGGACTACCAGGAAATTAAAAACTCCATTGAAAGCTGGCAAAACTGCTTGAAAGAAACTAAAGATAGACTATCAAACCTTGAAGACAGGTTTGCAATATGTGATCGTGAAAGGAAAGATCTCTTAACGATAACAAGGAACCAGGAAGTAACAATACAAAGGCTAGAAGATGTCAAGAGAATTTATAACTTAAGAATAAAAAACATGAGTGAAGAAGCAGGAGTAACCACAAATGAAATACAAAGGCTATTTACAGAAATAATTAAAGAAGACTTCCCAAGCATAGGAAAAGGAAATGATATCCAGATATATGAGGCGTACAGAACTGCAGGCAGCTATAACCAAAATAGATCTATACCCAGGCACATGATAATCAAGTTCCCAGAAATTCAACACAAGAACAGAATATTAAAAGCTGTCAGAGAAAAGAAACAGATCAAAGGGAAACCCCATCAGAATCATGACAGACTTCTCGACACAAACCATCAAATCAAAAAGAGCTTGGAGCAAACTATTCCAAGCCCTAAAAGAAAATAACCTCCAACCCAGGTTGATGTAAAACTACCTCTCAAAATTAATGGAGAAACAAGATGCTTCCACAACAAAAAGGATCTGGGGGAGTTCATGACCATCAATCCAACCCTACAAAAAATGAAAGACATTCTAGAGACAGAAAAAAAGACCATGATTTCAAGAACGGCGACAGAGGAACCTTACTGAATGAGGAAGATAGTGTAATGAAGGGGAAAGTAGATAACCAAACAGCAGAAAAGTAGCATGGCAGAGATAGAAAGACTGGCCATAATCGCTAAAATGTATGGCCTCGATACACTAATAAAAAAAAATACAGGCAGAGTGGATCAGGAAACAGGGTCCAGCAAGATGCTTTATATAAGAAATATAATTAACCTGAAAGAGGGTTTATGGACTGAAGTCAAAGATGAGAAAATAATGCTCTATATGACAGGGAACCACAATAAAGTGAGGGTAGCTCGCCCATCAGCTGCAGATTGGTTGGCAAGACATAACACTTTTATGCAATGGAGAACTACTCAGCTGTAAGGAAAGAAAACCTTGAGGCTTTTGTAAGTAAATGGATATAACTTGAGACCAAGCTCGGGGGTAAAAAGGTTCAGAACCACTTAGGTAAATAGCAGGTTGTCTCCCTAACCTAAAAACTAAAGAATTTAGTGGGACACAAAATGTACAGTGCACCCTGGGAAAGTGAAAGGGGAGGAACTGTCTAAATAGGGAAGGCAGAGGACATTGTTAATCTTGTATCATGATTTGAAACCCATATTGCTTTCATCACTCTGTTTAGTTTGGTTATATTCTGTTCCAGTTTGTCTACCTGTACTAGATTTGAGGGCATAGACTTCTATTCCAAAGACAGCAGGATATACTATGGTAAACATTTTTAATCTCCTATTAACTTAATCTGAAGCCCTGTATTGCTTTCACTGCCTTGTTTTGGTGTCATTTGAATCTGTTTTGTTCAATTGCTGTCTTGGCTTGACTGATTTTATTTGAATCTATTATGTTTGATAGTATTAAGTCTGAGGGCAATGACTCTGAAGACAATAAGATCCACTATGATACGCATTCTGGTTTGACTATTACCCTCTTTTGAAGTCCTATAATGTCTCCAATGTTTTGTTTTTATTGATTTTATTCCATACTGCTATGTTCAACTTTATTGTACCTGATGATATGGACAATTTTATTGAAGATAACAAGAGACATCATGGTAACCATTGTAGATCTCCTTGTATTGTGGTTTTAAATTATGTACTATGTCCATCCTTTTGTTTTGAATGACCCCATTTTGTTTTTTTCTTTTCTTTTCTCATTTGGTTTTATTCTTTTCAAAATAAAAATTTAAAAAAGATCAAACATTTTCTTATAGTTCATGGAAAGAAAATTCTTCATTTCAAGGTTGAAGAGAAGTGTAGTTCTCAGATGTAGTTTTAGAGCAGATTTTCACTGACTCCTGAAGATGACTAAATTAGTGCTTATACCTGCTGATTCTTTTCCAGATCACAGAGCAAATTTCTTTCCTTTCTAGGACATAGTCTAAAGCTTAAAGTGCCGGTTCAGCATCAAGAGTCAGCCTGATGCTGATATTTATTCTCCCTGAATCTGTTTCCTCATCTGTGCCATGTGGTTAATAGCAGGTGTATTATCTAGTTATTGAGTTTATTAAATGAGATGATGCTTCTCAACATCTGTGGGATTAAACATCACTTAAGATCGTTAACACATCACCCTTAGTGTGCAGTTCCTCACTGCAGTCTTATTTTTCCCTTAAATTCTACTCCAATTTCAGTAAACAATTGGTTCTTTCTTTGGCAAGGAATTAAAGTCTGCTTTCTCTTATAACACATTTTTTAGCAACAAAGTGACTTAGACTAACTGGGAAATTTTTCAAGAAACAAGTCAGCTGGTTGCTTCTCCATTTTGCAGCACCATCTGTGAAAGAGAGCAATGGGGAAAGAGATCAGCCACGGACCTTGCACGCAGGCCTTTCTGCAGAGACCTGTGGGAAGGGGCATCCTACAGGGTTGGGGGAAGGGTATTCTAATATTCAGATGTAAGCATTCGGTATTCTAATATTCAGATGTAAGCATTCCTTCTGGAAATAGCAATAGAATACCCAATGTAGTCATCGCACTGTTCTGAAATATATATTTAAACAAAACTGAGTAAATTTTGCAAGGATTAGCTACAAATAACAAAAATATAATGTAAATATATTGTTCTTTATATTTTCCAGGTGAAACATAAGTTTTAATATGTGCTTGGCATTAGGTCCATTTTCTTGAGCATTTCTGATTTATCACTGGAACATAATCTAATCCTAGACTGATTTCCCTAAGGGATTAGTCAACATTTATTTTAATGCCTTTTAAATCTTTGGGTTCATAAAATCTTACATCTCTCAATTTAAACCAAATCTTGATTTCCTGGAAATCCTGGTTAATGTCAACAATCCCTTGAATCTTTACAGAGTAGCTGGTAACTCATGGAAAATATTTGAAGCAGATTAATTCTCAGTGGCCAAGGCTTTCCCACATGGAGAACAGCATACTTTTCTCTTTGTTTACTCACACATTTTAATAAGGAAAATGCAAACAAACTCCTAAGTTACTCAGTTACAAAGTATTTACTGAGCACTTCCTGTTTCATGATATGCCATACCAATAGACTAAATTACTCACTTCAGTTAATCTCTTTAATCTACATGGTACAATAATTCCTTTGTTTTTCCCTCCCCGTCATTGTTGTTTAAAGATTACACTTACATTCATTTATTTGTAAATGTTCTTTGGGGCATTTGTGTTCCAGTTTTCAAATCAGGCTACCCAAAAATGGAAGAATGAATAAGACATTAAAATATATATGCACCAAAGCATATAGATAGAGATCTGTTTATATTCATGTGTAAATATTTGCTTACCAGTTGGATCACAAACTTAAAAGTAGCATGGATTACATGTATTACATTTATCATGTCACTTGCTGTCTCCTATCTCTACTAAAATAATGATCTGCCTGTTAGGAGAAGAATAACCAGCTCTGACATATTGCAGCCCTTCTGGATAGCAAAGTACCAGGACTAAAGAACTGACCCAAACCTACAACATTTAACTAGAAGCTTTGGCAGCATAAACCTGGCATCAGTGGGTGCAAATGTCCAGCATCAACCCTGCCATCATTACCAACATTATCACCCACCAGTTACGATCACTCGGGAACCCCTGGCAGACCATCCTGGGGGAGCTGGGAGTCTCTGCCACTCACTCCACTCATCTGTATTTCTCTATCCAAGCGGAGACAGGGACAGAAAAGCGTGGAGACGAGGACACTCATAGGATCTCATCCCCTCGTCTTTCCCCCACGGTGTTAAGACCTCTGAAGGAATCCGTAGAAACCTGGAAGATGAAAGGAAAGCTAGTAAGCAAACATTTACATGTGACTATAGACTATGTGTGTCCTAATCCATATATACTCCCTATCTACACTGTAGTGCATGTATTTTAATATTACATTCACACTATATAATTTTTAATGCTATATTGGACAGCTTGGTGAAAACTTGGAACAGAGATGCACCGAAGAGCATCATGAATGGATGAACATGAATGCAATCTCTAAATAACAATAACAGGAAGGGGGAAAAAGGGTACAGAAAGGAAGAGGTTTGCACTTCATTTAACCGAGAGAACCCTCAGGGAAGATGACAAGGGGGTGGGGGAGAGAAGAGCAGAAGCAGAAAAGGACCCCTGGGAGGGCCCTTGCCTGGACCCCGATCAGAGTGTTCGGCAGTAGAGGGGCGGAGTTAGTCACAGAGGTAGGCCAGCAGGTCCCCCACAACACCAGGGTCTAAGCCAGCACTGATCGGCTCACTCAAAATGAGAATCCTTTGAAGTGACTGTGACACCGCATCCTGCTAAATCTTCACACTCTCCCTTCCAGACTTTTAAAGAACTTGAAGCTGGACCTATAATTATATATGAAAATCTTTGGAGATTTTGATTTGCTGCTTGAAAAATGAAGCCACGGTTACATAAAGCCCATGTAGATGGGAACTGAGCCCCTGACTGACCATAAGGCAGAGAGAAGCATCTCCGCGGGAGATAGCTCTGCGGACAGACAGGCACACACTGCCAGGAGACAGACTTCCCCAAGCTCAGTGCAGTCTGTGGCCTTATTCCCCCCACCCCACCCCACCCCCGGTCACATGTAGGATGCCTTTGACTCAGGACAGTGCCAGGGCTCTCTCTGGTAGACAGCAGCACCGATGTCAAGGGCAAGAGCCAGCCCTGCAAATGCTACATGAAGATGGCAGTGGTCCTCAGTGGGTAACCTGTGCTTGGTTCTATCTTCTAATTAGAGACAGCAGAGCATCCTCATCACTCACCCCGCAGCTCTAAGTCCCACTACATACCAGGCACCGGAATTCCTCAGGCTCTTGTTGAAACTAAAGATCGTCCCTGCCCTCCCACTCCCCATTCCGCACCTCAATCTGTCCTTCCAGGCCATTTCCATGCAGGTGGTCCAAACATTTGGGGAAATAACTCAGACACAGCCATTGTACTTTTTAATGTTACGCCATGTCTTAACATTTGCCAAATTTTAGTCATCCTATAATGTTTAATCCTAGAAAACCAAGCACTGTACAGCAGACACTAATGCTGTAAACACTAGAACAATTTCAAGGAAAGTGTGCATGCGTGTGTGTGTGTGTGTGTGTGTGTGTGTGGTAGAGAAAGAGAGTGATACAAAAGATAAAGTATTCAAAGTCCCTAAAACATGGGCTGATCCAACTGTGTATATTGACTGATCTCTGTCTGCCTTGATGTCAAGGGATGAGAAATACATTTCCATTTCCAAAAACAATCGTTTGGAGCCTGGTGCAGTAGCACGTGCCTGTAATCCCTGCACTTGGGAAACTGAGGCCGGAACACTGAGAGTTCAAAGACAGAGTAGCCTTTGTAGTGAGCTCCTATCTCCAACAAAATTAAAATGCATAAACTCCATACGGAAGGAAATGAGAATGCTAATGCCCAGACATACAACTGTATCAATAATTCAGAGTGACCTCCTGGAAATCAGCAAGCCATTTCGTATTATTCATGAGGTCAACTTGAAAAAATATTATTTAGAAATCAATTTGTTGACATTTCTTGAATTCATTCAGACCCAACTTCTAGGCACCTCCAGAAAAGAGCATCAGTGAGCTACAGAAACATCCATCAGGCTGCATCTCTTGGCTTCAGTTCATCAGGTCGCTCATGGTCCAGGCTAAGGGCTGATGGCAAAGTCAGTCAGATGCGGGAGACCAAGGCAGCCTTTCTAGTGCCACCCACTGTACCTGTAACATATGTCCATCCAATCAATATTTGTCACATGAATTAATTCTCTGACGCATTGCTCTTTTGATGTACAGCATTTAAATCTCCTGAATTCTCGCACACAAGAATAGGAAATTTGAAATTTTTGGTACCACTCTAAATGAGCTCCTTACCTTTGTCGGTATGGATAGCCACTAACACTTTCCCACTGTAGTAATTTACGTATGTTAATGACAATGCAAAAGTTCAGGGCCCTGAATTTCTACTCTACACACCTTCTGCATGGCACCCCCAGGAGGGCTGCTCCTGTCACTTCTGCCCTCTGAGCCACCTCCTCCTACTCCAGGGCTCCACCTACTCCCGTGAACACAGGCCCATCTGCCTGCAGTCTGGGCTTTCCGGTGGCTTCTTTGTCCAAACCAGAGGCCTAAAGGATGATGAGGAAAGGGGTTCAAGTGGGACGCTACAGGACTACCTGGCTGAGGATTGTTCTTGGGTAGACTCACCTAAGACGATTTCGTAACTCTTTCTTCTTCTTTTGAACTTACTAGGGAACTAAGATAGACTGGTTGGGCCCTCCCTTCAGCTCATCTCTGCCCTAAGAAAACAAACAAACAAAAAACCAAGCAGAGACATTTAGACTTCTTGAGAATCCTCATCCACATTCCCTCCTATCCCATTTGGCTATCTCAGGCACTATTTTGAAACTTGCCCTAAGGCCTCACCACTTCCCAGAAGGCCCAGCCCAGTCTCTGGGGTGAAAACAATTTACTGTGACCCCACATTTGCAAAAGACAAAACCACTATCTGCTTCATAGCCATGAACCAAAAGTGTGGATAAAGTCACCCAGGTAAAACTGAAAAATGTCAGAATTGCAATTAGCTCATTGACTCAACCGCAGACTCAAGACAAAGCAGACTCTTGGATGATAGCGGTCAAGGACGCCACCTCTGAGCTTTTTGTACTGCCTGCTTCTTCCACGATCCGCTCTTCTTCGACCTTTTCGTGTGCATCGGAGGATACCATTGTGGAAAAGCACCACAAATAAAGTGACAGGAAGCCACTGCCAACACACTACATAAAGATGGGCATTCCAACAGTAGTCATAGCTTTCTTCTGGAAAATGGGTGAAAATGAAATCGTAAGTCAAGCATGTATTTTTTTCTTCTCCTTTTCTACTTCTCTACACAATAACTTTAAAGATGCATTATCGTTACTTCTATAGAAAAAGACCTGAAAGACTCTCTTTTCATTTAGCTTTCTACAACAATTTGATGGTAAACACATGAAAGCGGGCTGGGAGCATTTTATCTCAGAGACTCTTTAAGGTGGAAGAGACTTCAGAGGTCACCATGTGCATTGGCTCTCAAGCACGCTAATGATGGTCCTGCTCTCAGAGATTCTGACTATGCAGATGGGGAGGAGCTCTGGTGTAAATGTCCACTGAATACATTCCCAGGGTTGCTCTGCTATCCAACTAATGTGTGCACACCTAGTGCAAACATCTTATTTTTTGCATAGGGCACCAGAGCCCCTAGGACTGAGTTATTAAAGACTCACTTAAATTCCTTGGAAGCAAAATGAATATTTTTAGTTATTTAGCAGACACTAATCACAGGTCTACCATGTGCACTGCTAAACAGTGGTCATGGAAATAAGGAGCCAAATAAGACCCAGAGCTTGTGGCTCACATCTTACCAAGTCAAAGCAGATAACCATCCAAGTGTTAAACCAGAGAGTGCATTCTAGAAACACGCGAAAGCTAGACCATGCCGCACAGATAGAATGCGTCATTGCTGGTCCTCTACACTCAAGCCTAGAATTCTGTCTGAAGGAAATATCTCTGCCTTGGTTTTTCTTTTGAAGAATCAATGGTAGCTTTTGGCACACAATGGAACAACGGAGTGATTCCACACCACTAGCTGAGGAAGTCTGATCAGTAGCTTCCCAACTCAGCAGAGCAAGACCCTCAAGCACTATTGAGAGTCTCAGGCACTATTTTGAAACTTGCCCTAAGGCCTCACCACTTCCCTCAAGTCTCAGAAGACATGCTTAGAGTGAGAGGGAGACAGAGGACAACACGAAGGCCTTCAATTTTCCAGGCCCTTCTGCTACCCTCTGTGGAAGACGCAAGACGGCAACAAGCCCTTTGTGTGGGCTAAGAGCCAAAATGTGCGTTTAATTTCCAAATCCCTATTTCTGCTGAGCTGTTCTCTCCAGTGCCCCTTGGACTCACGTTTGTTCTGCTAGCAACCTAGGTCCCTTGGGAGCCTACACAGCCCTGGGCATCTGCCAGCCAAGACCCAAATGCCTTTCTGTCCTTACAGCCAGCACTGGTACACTGACTCCCTGACAGAATGCTCTAAAAGGTTAGCCAGGGCAGTCACGTTCCACTGGGTACACACAGACACACACGCAGGTGACTCTGGGCCTTGCTGATACCTCAGACAATTCTGTTTCCCAGGTTTGTTTTGAGCTCTTTCTGTGTCTTTTCATGTGCCATTTGGCAGTGTCTCAATTCCATGGGAAACAAACTTTGGATTTCTTTCATTTGTATCCAGATCCTCTTGTTTCCCATTTTTGGCCAAATTTTTTACCAATAGACCCCCTAAACACCAACTCTGTAGTTATGAATAGGTTTTGGTTTTGTTTTGTTTTGTTTTGTTTTGTTTTGTTTTGTTTTGCTGAAATAAACACCAACTACATAGTTGCTCCTTGACTGATTGAGGGGAAATCCATTTTATTACAGAGAACAAATAACAGAAGAGAAATTCCTTTCAGAGCCACCATGTTCAATAAAGAAGGGTGAAGGATATTATATTTTGGGATGATTCAAAGATAATGAATGATTATCCTTTTCCACAAATTATCTGACCATCCTATTTTCTGGGAGAAAGGCCTAATAGATGGACCACGTCTCACAGAAAATGGTGTCTCCTGTTCTTGTTGTTATGAAAGAACATGGACACAGACATAGGCTCGAGTTCCCAGAGCAGAATTCCTTTTGAGTTCAGAATGTTCCGCTCCCCTACAGTGGTTCTTAGCTTCTTTATTCCTGTCTGTATCCGGGATGAAATAAATGTAAGTGCGATTACCTCAGATGAGGATGTGGCGGAAACGTTGGTCTCATGAAGAGGCCTCCTCTCCTGGCGTTTCAGTCACATGTTTCCTCTCAGAGGTCAGTGGTGGAGGGAGATGATCCTCCTTGGTGACAATGTCTCCAATCTGTCCCTCATCAGAGCCAAAGCCTTATCTCAGCCTCCCTCTCAAACACTACCTACCGAGCATCCGCAGCCATCTTTCAAACTCCTTTCCTGTTTACTGCCTCAACACTGGGAAATGGCTCACTGAACAAAGGCCTCCCTCAAGGCCAAGCAGCGTGCGACAGGCTAATAGATATCCAAGCCAATGTCTTTCAAACGTTATTGTGAATCATCTTCCCCTCCTTCCTTCCCATGCTTCAGTCCCCTTGCTGGCTCTGAATCTTGCTGGCCTTTTGTCTCAGACCTCGGCTGCCTCCAGGTTACAGTGTGTGACCGAGTTGTCTTTGTCTCCTTTATCTGCTTCACCGTGTCCCATTTTCCTAGCGGATCTGGCTCCCACTTTTCCACAACATTGTTCTTTTGTTGCAGGGGGAGAAAAAAAATAACTTCTGGAGACAGCAGAAACCCAGTTCCAGAGGCCATGGGGTGACATCCTCTCTCACCTGTTCTTTATTCATATCTCATTTTTAATTGCATTTTTTCCCGTTTCTCAAGCACGGTACACCTCCCTTCCTCCCTGACAGGAAGGAACATTTTATTTCTCATTCAAAACGCTTTCCTCCTGATCTCGGTTCTTCAGAAAGCTCCAGAGCCCCCTGTTACCTGTTGGCTTTTCTCATGTTGGTTGATCTGTTGGCCTTGCTATAGTTTATTACCTTTTCAACCTTTCTCCCCCTTCCTCTTTCCAAACTTAGGCCAGAACTTGCAACCTGCTGTCCTTTCTCATCTTCACTATCATTATCTTCAGACCTAGTCTTCCCAAAATGGATTTTTTTTTTTTACCAACCCCATGCTCTTTAAAGAAACAAAGAGGAGAATTATGTGATGGTTTCCACTGTCGGAGTGTCTGAGGCTTTGTTTGAGCGAGAGCTTCACATCCAAAGCTAAACCTTGACTTAACGTACAAACTCAATTGACGAGAGGAGTGCGCAGGCCCAGGCCCACCAATCGGCCGAGGATACAATCAGAGGGTTATTGGCAGGTATCTTCTTATCTCCCTGGTGCACTGAAAAAACTCAATTCATTAAAATAATAAAAAAAGATCTCGGTCCCTCATGTGAGCGGCATGTGATTTTCCGTGAACGTTCGGCTCAGAAGGCACGGTGCCTATTATACATTCCATTTATAAATCAAACGCCCTCGTCCTGCGGCTGCACGCTGACATGCCAGCGAGGTGTGGGTCAGACGCACACACTTCCACGTGAACGGCAGATGAAGGCAAAGAGACGGGGAAGCGGCTCTTTTTTTGCCCCCCTTTTCCACCAGTAATAGGCAGCTCGAACGTTAAAATTGGGCTGCGACTCCAAAACCAAAGTCCCATGAACCATAGCAGCAAAGAGACTTGAGATGAAAGGCAGGAGCTGTCTGTTCCCTTGGATCCTTCGCCTTTCTTTCTCTCCCCTTCATCATGTTCATTGGGAGGGAAAGGCTGTGCATGTGTGTGTGAATTAAAGAATGTGTCTAGGGAAAGATCGGGGGTGAATCTGGCCCAAGAAAGTCTTTGGTCTCTAAAACCTGGGAAGGTGAGTTGAGCCTGGGAGTCTAGGGCTGTGTCCATGCCCAGAAGTGAAAGGAGAGAGGGCATTGAGCTTGGCGATTGAAAGGCCATGGGGAGTCCCGCAGGGACCCAGCTCCATGAAGGCAACAGGTCCCAGGCAGCACAGCCACCTTGTGGCCACCTCGCCGGTCCCCGCCCCTTGAGGGACTGATGTTCTCTTACAACCTCCAGTCCATGCCCAAGCAGGCCACTCACCAAGGTCCCCTGGGGACACAATTGTATTAAGAAAATCTGTTTCCTACCAGACAAGGTGTGGCTCGATTTCCCAACCCCTGTCTCTGGTCCCTGTTCCCATACCTTATAATCCTGTTCTTTCTCTTCGTGAATAGTAGAAAATGAAATGAAATGGATGGTAAAGAAAAAAGAACTCACCTGAAATCCCTTTGGACTTCTTTTTCCTCTTTTAATTACCTACTGTACCAGATGACGGCTAGGGAAAAAGGAATTGAGGGGATCTAGAAAGATAACAAAGCAAAAATGTCGTTCTAAAATCACACATAATCAAGAAATGGTCACATATTACATCGACCCTATGCACAAATGAGGAAAGAAAATCTTAAACAATGGTAATATAATTTTTTCCTTAATTATTCATATGTCATGTCTTAAAACTCCCAGATCTCTTGGCTTCCAGATGTTGCAAAATATAGAATAAATAACTCAGTAAAATCCCCTATATAAGAGAAAAGGTGAAGATGATTAAAGTACAATACAGCTAATTATTTTCCTTGAAACAATGAAATCGTGTCAAAACAAGGAGGCCATCAAATGAGGAGCCAATGGGACTTCACATTAACCTGTCTCTCCCGAGGGATGAATCTAGAGGAGAGGTCTAGAATTCACCTAAACTAGGATAAATGGGTTGTTGAGTCAGAACTGTTTCATCGGAGGGTTTAATCATTATAATCTTTTTAAACTATGAGTTGTTATTCAAATAAGCCCTTAGAATAGTTTTCAAAAATATAGATTTTACAGAAAGGTTGAGCACAATATCAAGAAATGAATTCTCCACATGAACTCAAAAAATATAATATTCTCAGATAATTCCAATGTAGTAATCAGACATCAAGAATGATTGGAATACTGTTTTGGCCCATATACAATGTAAGGGTCTCACATAAATAATAATAATAATAGTAATAATAATAATGTGCAAATGTTTGAACAAAGAAGTGGCCTTCCATATGATTTTTTCTGGCAACCAAGAATGAATGAGTGTTGTCAGCTGGTCCCCCTTTCCCATGTTGCATGTGCCCAGGTAGCAGAATTGAGAAGGGAGAAGTGAATTGCCCTCTCCCCATAGCACAGACACAGTACCTGGACTCACCATTGAGAAGGTGAGCCTTGTACACCCTGCTGGGTGAAACATAGCGCCTATGATTCCAGGCAATGATTCTTACTGTTTTCATTAAATGCAGTAGTTAACTTGAAGCCAATTTTCTTTGATTATGCATAACAGATACCTCCTGATCATTTTTATCATAGCGACTGATACTGCTTTTTAGGGTAGTTTTTAGTTTTTTAATTAACTAAGTAACACGTTTTCATCTGATTTTACAAAGTCAGCTTTGCCTTAGCTGGCAACTTCAGAGCCTACATAAAACAAATGGTGATTTGTGGGATAAAACTAAATGTATTAATCTATAAAGCAGCTAAGTTGGTTAGAAAGAATATTTAGACAATGTCTTAGTTACTGCTCTCATTACTGAGACAAAAAATACTTAACAATCTTAGTTAACAGGGGAAAGTTTTATTTAGTTCACAGTTTGTGGAGGTTTCATTCAGAATCTACTGGCTCAAAGGCAGGGTGGCACATGGCAGAGGGGCAACTGCTCATGGCAGCAGAAGACCGCAAAAGCAACAAGACAGAGTAGCGGGGGACAAGCCTCTTTTTTTGTCCCCTATATTGTATGCAGGCTACTCAGCCTAGGGCTAGTGTAGCATTCACACCCTTAATCAGGATTGGGCCATGAATCAATCACAAACTCTAGGCTCAGCAGCCTTTGAAAACCCCTGCGACGAGCACATGAAGCTTTTGGGGGACATCTAGACACAAATCATAATAGAAAACATGCTCCCTATTTTCTCACAACTGGGCTGTAACCAGGTGAGAAGATGTTATCCCCAGCAGGTCATGTATCTAAATGACAAGTATAAATTGCAACATTAATCGTGTTTTTCACTTTAAAAACTGTGTATGATCTTTACTCAGATATTTTCTCTACCCACTAACTTAAGTCTACATTGTTCTTTCAAGTTCTGGACAACAGATTGCATATGCAATACACAGAGCTTTAGAAAGTCATAATAGTTTATACTGTGATTCAGACTGGTATTAAAGCATTCAAACAAACATATCCTTGGAGTCAGTCACCAGTGTAACAGTAAAATGTCTCACAAAACCTCAATCTAAATGTTTCTACTGAAAAACAAAAACTCTAAGGCACAGAGAGATGACATGCTCAGCTGGGTCAGCTGGGATAAGAACCAAGTCTCTTAACTGTGAATCTACTGTTTTTCCCAATGAATCATGTTGCTTTAGTCTTACTAATTAGCAGGACTCAGATTAATTACAGATGGGAGATATAAGCTTGTAACTGAGAAATCTGATTCACCAGCTTACAAACAGCCTAAGATGTGAACAAAAGAAAGAGATCTAAACAATAGGCAGTCACAGTAAAGGACAAAGGTTTATCTGCCCAAGGTATAAACCATGCCCAACAGGCATGGTTACTGGCATGCAAAGAGGCAGAGATCTTCACAGCTATAAATGTCTTCCTTCCTAGTTTTTCATTTCTACTCATCAGTAGGTCGTTTAGATTTGAACCAAAATTTTACAAAAATTCCCTTTCTGTAACAACTCAGGAGGTTCCTTTCTTAGTTCAGTATATATCTTGATAAGAATAATAATGTCTAGAGTGTACCTAGATTATATCTTATGTAGCTTATATACTGTTTGGTAGTTATTACTGAGATTTTTTAAATATCAGATACAACTAGGAAACTTCAAGATAACTTTCTAAAACAGAAAAGTTACCAGAAATCCTTGATTTATTTAAAATTTGAATTTTATTTGTACCAAAGTTATACATAGGGTTTACATTTTCAGATAGTTGAAAGGTTTATTAATCAATAATAGTCTCTGACTGAGGCCTGTTCACTAGAAGCAATCAGTCTTGAGGACTTTCAGCTCCTTATTTTATGTCAATGCTATATTTCTTTTTTTTTTTTTTGTCTTTTTCTTTTTTATCAGTATCGAGGATCAAACTCATGACCACACACTTGCAAGGCAGGCGCTTATGCTGCTAAATTAATCTCCAGCCCCTATGCTATATTTCAATAACAAGTTTACTTGAACAAAAGGAGTTTTCTAGATTAGACATCAAGGATTGCTTTTTCACCTTAGAAATTAAGGATTAGCTTCTTTTCATCCCTTCTGCAGCTTATCAACATATATATGCATACTTTCATATGTAACATGCATATATCATGTATGTATTTGTGTACCTACGACTTAATATGTATGTATAAGTGCATGTGTACTTTCTTACCCTCCTATTCCCCTAATATCTTTATATCTTACCTTTCAGTTAGTGCCTATTTAGTGTTCATAGTGTTATTCTTATGTTCATCCTAGTCTTAAATAAGCAACTTCATTAAGTTGACTTGGAGATGCTTTTCTCCCCTATATTTCAACATCTCTGCAAACTGGGTGTATCTTTCAATTGCTCTCAGCCTTTGAAATATAGCTTAAGGCTTATAAAAAATTTTTTAAAAAAAGATTCCGTGACCCCAGAGTCAGTTAAACAGATCTGCTCAAACATCTCTGAGAACCGAGTGTCTTTCAATTGCCCTGGGACTTTGGGCTGTAGTTACTGCTGCCTGTGCAGAAGTTTGCCCAGAGCTGTTGACAGTGTCATCACTCAGCAGAGTTCATGCGTGGTTGGTACCACACATGTTGAGTGAAAGTGCCACATAAACTATCTTCAAGAAGAAATGGCATTTGTAAGAGAGCTGTGCACACAGACAAAAAGGAGTGGTAGGGAGCAAACTTGCTATTACCAAAGTAAATGTTTGTCACTAGAAGAAAACCAGCAATTCAATATTTTCTTGCAAAGTATAACAAAGCGCTTTATGAAATCTAAGAAAAAGATGCCCCGGAGTAGAAGGCACCATGTCACGTTGGTTAATGAGAAGGTGGAGAGGAGGGTGTACTGCAGCAAATGTAACTGAAGATGCAGGAACACAGAAAAAGCCCTCAATGCAGGTAGAAGATGCATCCAGTGAGGAGACACAGATGCCACTGGTGCACACAGGGGCAGAGAGAAATTTATAAATTCTCTCTTCTCATGACTATTGTTTCTTTCTTTCTTTCTTTCTTTCTTTTTTTTTTTTTTTTTTTTTTTTTTTTTTTTCCTTTTTCCTTTTTATCGGTACCGGGGATCGAACTCACGACTGCCTGCTTCCAAGGCAGGCGCTTATGCCGCTGAGCTAAATTTCCAGCCCCTACTATTGTTTCTTTTCATCTATTTTTTTTTTCCTTTGCTTTATGTTGTGTTTTATTTTGTTTGGTTTTGAGGCAGGATTTCACTCTCTAGTTCAGGCTGGCCTTGAACTCTCTGTATTGCCAAGGCTGGTCTGAAGCTCAAATCCAGCCTGCTCAATGCTGGAGTTATAGGTGTGCATCATCACAACTGGATCCTCTGGTCTAGTTATTTTTCTTGGATCCCTACTATTTAACCATGGGAATTCCTGAACTAACACTTGAACTTTTAAAATCTTTTCAATTTTCTATTTTTGCCAAATTATTCTACTTTTTTCAAAATTTCCAGTATTTTATCTTCTTCTTTTATTTTTTTATTTCTGCAATCATATGTTTAATTTCAAGGGATGTTCACATTCTCAGTTTTTTTTTTTTTATAATACCGTAGTCTTGTTCCATAGCTACAATGACATTTTATATTTATGAAATCATTTTTGCTTCACAGTTTTGTTTTTTGTTGTGGTGATGGCGGTTTCATTTGATGGGGTTGGGTTTTGTTGGGTTGGTTAGGTCAGGTTGTCTGGGTTGGGTTGGGTAGATTGGATTGGATTGGGTTGATTGGGTTGTGTGAGCTGGATATGTTGAGTGGGTTGGTTGGGTTGGGTTAGGCTGGGTTTGGTCTACACATGGTTTAGTTACAAAATCCCTTTGCTGTTATTCGGTCCCTCTCTCTTCTGTTAACAGCTTCCCTTGAACAGGTAGAAGTTTGTTCATATTTTGAATGGAGAAGTGCAGGGCGGATTGGCAGCCTGGAGTCTGTGACAGGAGGGGACCTCACTCCACTGCTGGCCTGGCAGGCAGCTCCTGGGCTGTGCTCAGCAGGCACTCTGGCCTCCTGCTGGTGAGTGAAAAGGTGCAGCTAGAGTCCTCTTCTTTAATCACACAGGCTTTGGGATGATTGCCCTGCTTTTAGCAGGCCGTTCCTCCCCTAAGCTATGCAGGACCCCTTGGCCCAGGACCCTCTCGTTCACTGCTCCAGAAAATCCTTCTCCCTTCTGCATATTATGGTGTGGAGGGACACAGAATCACTCAGCCATGAGGGACCAACTACCCAGCATGAGGGTACCGACCAGTTGTAGTTACACAGCATGAGGATACTGACCCACTACCTAGCATGAGGGTACTGACCTCCTGCCCAGCATGAGGGTACTGACCAACTACCCAGCACAAGAAGCCTGCCCTAAGGCTCAGCTGATTGACACCAATTTTCCCCTCACTTTCCAGATTGCTTGTGCTGCCAGCACCTCCCCTTCCATGATCAGAGGCTCAAATCAGATAACAGTTCCCCTCTCTCATGGTCTGCTGTTTGTCTGTGGCCTGCCCAGCTCCTGTATTCGGTTGCCATTGTCCTTGGTTGTCCTTGAGGAGTTCCCCCTTTCAATACAGCTTGACTCCCCTTTGAGTGTGGCTTTGGGAGGAAGCTGGGGTAACTGCACCTGTTAACTCACTGACTTTAGTGAAATCCCCCACTTAACTGTGACCTAACTGTGACATCTCTATTGGAATCACTCATAGAACAGCATTGAAAACAACCTTGTAGCATAAAAATTTGTCCAAATAGAAAAATACCCATATAAAAATGGTCTCTGTGTAGATGTTGTTCAAATATCTGCTGTTCAATAAAAGAAAAAAGCAATAAATTCTCTGTAGATGCAGCAAGGTGTAAACTGTTTGTATTAGCTGATGACTTAGGAGAAAGTAAACATTTTTCTCTTGCCAGTGGCCTGTGAGTCTTAATTCAGATTTTTTTCTTAAGTGGACCCTGGTGATTTTCTGTCATACCCAATGCAGAGAGGCCCTGCGGGAGAAGAAGAGTTGGAAGATGAGTGTCAACAAGAAATGTAACGGGGATGAGACTAAGTTTGGTCATGTGGGTGATTCCTGCCCCGTGGGGTGACTGCAATGATCCCGGCACCCACACTGTGCCACGTACCCCGCTGTGCACAGCAGAGGGCCCTGATCTCACCATCATCTCCACAGATCTAAGCAAGCCAGGGAAGCCCTCTGACTTGGTCCCAGGGATCAGGTGCCGGAGGCCTGCTGGCTGTCAGCACACAGCACTTTCTCCTGCCTCTGAGCTTGGCATTGTGTGCAGATTACTTGTCTGATAATTGAAGGAGAGCATTCCTTCTCCTTGGGCACGCTCACCAAAACAAACAGCCCAGCTGCCCTTGGCAGCCCCCTGAGGCCAGCAAAGAAAGCCAGGCTCGAGTTGAAGACAACAATTTGGACGGCAGAGAGGCAGGGGGAAAACAAACACACTCTTGCTCAACAAACCCCAAAGCCTAGTCTGCCACTGTGTTTTCCAATATATGAGTTAACCAATTTATTCTAAAAGCTGGGTTAAGCTGGGTCTCTCTGGACTGATAAACCTCATCTCTCTATATGAAACATTATCCAAATTGTTTATCACTATTCTATAATCATCGTGAGGGAAAAATGTCCTGAGAGCTTGCGCACACTGGATTAACTATAATAAGAGTGTGAAGTGGATCCTGCCATTCAATTTCAAATGGTGCTGATAAAATCCACTCACTCATGGGCTCATTTGCAATTGAGTGAATACTAGCTAGCTTTGCTGGTCACTTCTACCATGTAAAACAACAAATATATTTAAATGTCTTTGCCTAGAGACCTTCTCTTTCTGTCTTTAGTTAACAAGAACTCTGTTTGGACATAACTTTTAAAAACCATTTATGCTATCCCTGGAATGACACTTGCCAAGTCACAAGCATTAGCAAAACAGGAAAGAAGGATCACATTTCAGCGCCGCGTTTGATTTTAATTCAGAAAGTAAACACAGATGAGACTTACTCCCTGTAGAGAATCAGTTGAAAGCTTTTTTGAACTTTACTGTCCCAAAGATTAATATATTATTGATTAAATAACACAAGGATAAAGCAACTCAAAACATAGCTGTCTCAGAGCTGAATAATGCAGACATTTGTCAAAAGTCAAATCAGATAATTAAGCAAAGTCAATATATTATGCCAATTTAATTATCTGATTGGCTATCTAAAGTAATTTAGGTAACTGTCAAATTCTCCTTTTATTTTGGGCAGTGGGATCATTTTATGAACAAAAGAGAAACTTAACAGACACATAAAGCAGTCATTGCAAATGCATGGTCGTTAATAATCTTTCCTGCCTACATTGACTGCCTTGTTATCCCATCCGGGTTCATAGCTTTAAACACCACGTCTATCATACCAGTTAGGGCCAGTTTTAAATCTCCAGCTCAGAACTCCCTCCAGTCTCAAGACTTTCGCATCCAACAGACTTTATATGGCTCCCTGGGGGTGTCCAATAGATTGCACAAAATTTATCTCTTGTCCTTCTCCCTTGGAATTCACACTACCTAGAATCCCAGATCCCTGCGGAAGATAACTGCACCTTTCCAGTTGCTCAGGACAGAGGTGCTGAATCATCCCAGACTCCCTTCTTTCAAAAATATCATATCCAACTCATCAGTAAAGACTTCTAGTCAATCCTACCACCCAAACGCACCCAGAATCCAATCTCGTCTCCACACTGCCAATTCTACTAGCATTGCGCCTTTGCCAGCTGTGGCTAGGATGATTGCAATAGCTCCCCATGGCAGTCTCTGCTCCCACATTTGGACCCCTCCGAGGTTTATTCTTTTAAATATGACATCAAACCATCTTATCCTTTGTTCACAATCACCCAATAGTATCCTGCTTGCTTCAGCATTTGAACTGAAGCTGTCGTGGTGGCCTCCCGGACCTCAGCCTCTAGTCTTCCTGATTTCATGCCTTTGTCTCACTGACCACAGCCCACTCAGGGCAAACTCTCTCTGGGCTCTTCTTCACTCTTTTTTCCACTTTCCCAAAAAGTTCCATGTGGTCAGAGCTGAGGAAAACCCAGCCTGGGGTCCTGTTTAAAACTGCAAACCTTTGCCTGCCTTGCAAGCAGGCAGTCGTGAGTTTGATCCCTGGTACTGATAAAAACGAAAAAGACAAAAAAAAACCAAAATTGCAAACCTTTGCTGTGCGGTCTCCCCGTGCCAGCTTCCCACTTGGTTGCTCTGTGTTTATGCTTCTCCTGGGCCATCATCACCATCATCCATCCCAAGCCGCCATGTTTGCTGTCTTGTTCTCACCAGAAAGTAAGAACTATGAATCCAAGGGTCTTGCTTCGTTCTCACGTCTCCAAACATTGCACTGGACACACAGAGGACAATCAAGTCATATTTAATGAATGCATAGAAAAGGTATATCATATTCCTTGATGATGAAAATGGAAAACTTCCCAGACTAACTCAGGCTTTGTGGATACATGTCACACCTAGCATGAATGGAAAAATACCAATAAACTTTAATATTTCACTCACCACACCTAGCACACATGTACAGATTTCAAAACTGCCCACAGATTCCAACACCCCAACTTCTGTCCTTTTTCTCCGTTCAGCCCATTGCAGACAGTCATGTCTGCATCACATCTTGAGATAAGCTATATTTTTCCTCTATTTTTCACTCTAAAAATTTCAAGCCTAGGGGGGAAAAACAGAAAATAGTAACACAAACATCCTATATTTTCCTTACACAGTTTCTTGATTTTTAACATTTTGCCTCATTTCATTTCTCTTTCTCTCTCAAAAATTCGGTTTCCTCCTGGAATGTTTGATAGTTATTTGATCATATCGTACAATTTTTATGCCTAAATTGTTCATCAAGTATTACTTAAACAGAATGATGTAGTTCTTTCTATCTAATTCAATAAAAGGATCATATTCAGAAAATGTAACATCGTTATCCAATATATATATTCCATATTCAAATTTCCAAAAATGTTATTTATGGTTAGACTGATAGATAGCTTAATCATAGACAACAAACCATATTTTAGTAGCCGTATCTCTCACTTTTTTTGTGTCCCAGCCAATGGGTTCTTTATTACCAGATCAAGGTTCAAGATTTCCAGCAAAAGTTTTAGCTAAAAGTTAGAGTTTTAATGGGTGCCTCAGTAGCCATAAAGAAGCAGCCCAAATGAAGGAAGGGGTTACAAGCATGTCCACATAGCCAGGCTACCCCGACCGGAACCCAGCAGCACCACTCAGGACCTGGGAAAACTACATGTCAACCCCTAGCGTCTGCTGCACTGTGTACAGGGAAGGGCTGGTCGCACTCCCCCGCCTCGCAGGACCCAGCTGTAGATAGTCAATCAATACAGGCAGAGTACTAGACGAGGTGGGCCTGGCGCCTGTGGCAAATGCTTTGCAAGTTTTAGCTGTATTCCTGCTCCTTAGGCAGGCCTGAAATTTCCACCGAGCGCCACTGCGAGATGAGCCGCCTGGACCCGACGTGCCCCTAGAGGGCAGCAGAGGCAGCGCGGTTCCTGCCTCCTTCACTAGAGAACCCAGGCACTGGGTCCGCAAACCTTAACCGGACGGGAAGCCGCTGGACCCTGTGGGCTGCTTGGCTGTGTGATTGTTTACCGGGGAAATGAACCCATGACCCCGAGGGATGCCAGCATACATCATCTTTGGGGTACTCAAGCTAATCTTACGGGTACTTTTCTGAAGACTAAATATATCACACTAATGTGCTCACCTCTTGCAAACCTTGGTAACATGAGGCGAGCTAGAGCCAGTCCTAGCGATTTAATTCTTGGCGAGCAGCTGAGTACTGGGAGTGACTTAAGTAACTGTTGCAGGGCCAGCTCCCCAGAGGTAGGAAGAAGCCTCATTTCTGTGCTCCAAGTTTTTACCTGCCTATAACTTCAGGTCAGTTTCAAAGACAATTTTGTAAATGTTTCTTGCTACCAGAACTGAAGCTCTCCAGCTATACTGTAGCTGACAGCAAGGATTGGATACAGACTCTTTTTAAAATTGCAGGCAAAGTGGGGCCGGGGATTTAGCTCAGCGGCATAAGCCCCTGCCTGGCAAGCAGGGGTCATGAGTTTCATCCCTGGTTCCTGGGACCAAAAGCAAAATGCCTAGTGGAGGTTGTTAGGGGAACTGAAGAAAGGTGTCTCCCATTGTCCCTTGCACTTGGGCCTGGGAGGGCTCGCCATCCAGGATCTGGGCATCTCCGGCAGGCACTGGAGGAGTCTTACCTGTTGTCTCCCCCTAGATTATAATGGTGCACAGTGGATTAGGGTTCAGTCACCCCACAGAGCTGCAACCTCCACAGCTATATGGAGGAACACAGAGGAAAAAACGACCTACACTTACCACGCCTTTCTCTCCAGAGCTGGCCTGCCCTGTCAGCCCCCTTGTCCCCGGGCCATCTTCCCCCATCTTCCCTGGGACCCTAAGGACCTGCTGGGTTTTCTCCACACGGGTTGTGTTACCACTTATTTCTCTCTTGCTCACTTGCATTCCTCTAAGAATCTTGAGGTTCCTCCTGTGGGCACCCACTACTATGCATAAGAGCCCCCTCTCTTATCAGGGGGAAGAGGTAGACAAATATTATACAAACCCCTCTTTTAATGCATAAAAATAAAGAGAGCTCCTTCAGTGGCCACAAAAAGAAAAAATAATTTTAAAAGGTTTTAGAAAGTAGTTGCACCAAAACTAAATTTAGAAGAGGGGGAGGTAAGAAGATGGTGGGTATGCATGCAGAGTCACGACAGGCTCTAAGCAAGCAGAATCCTACTGCAGAAACGGGAACTCTGTAAGTACATTTTGTCAAGAAAGACTTAAGGAATCACATTTTATAGTGCTATAAAGACCAAGTAGATTCTGTTAGACAGAGTAGTAGAGTATACATTCTTTCTTGGGTTTTTTGCTTTTTGTTTGTTTGGTTGGTTGGTTGGTTGGTTTTGGTTTGTTTGTTTTTTATCTTTTTGAGACAAAATCTCACCCTGCAGTTCAGGCTGGCCTTCAGCCCACTTTGGTATCAGGCTGGTCTCTAACTTGCAGTGACCCTCCTGCCTCAGCCTCCTGAGTGATGGGATCACAAGCGTGCATTACCACACCCAACTTCAGCAGGGTACATTCTTCAGGGTACACTAAGCCACACTGTCACTTTCATTCTATCTGTAATCTTGACAAGGACAAGGGACTGAACTCTTGATCCTAATACAAGAGTTTTAAAAAGCCAATCTTCCAAAAGTAAAAGTTTAAAATATCCCACAATGAGTCTGGCATTAGGCATAGGCCTGTAATCCTAGCACTCAGGAGGCCGAGGCAGGAGAGTCACCACAAGCTGAAAGCCAGCCTTGGCTACACAGAGGATTCAAGGCCAGACTGAATGACATAGTGAGACCTTGTTTCAAAACAAAACAAAACAAAAAGTACACTGACATCCTAATTTTTTTTTGAGTGCCCTTTGGCTTGGGCTCCTGGGTACCTGAAGCACAGTTGAATGGATCATTGGTGACTTTCACCCCACCCGTATTCTCAGCACTTTGGGAAACCCAGTAAAATCCAAATAGTTTGTGGCAACAGTCTCCTATTGCAAACACTGGAGGAAATGAGCAGTGATCCCACAGCACAGTGAAAGGTCAGGTGGTACCTGCTGGCGGGTCAGCCCTGGGCACTGACGGTCAGATTGCAGGGCTCAAACTCCGGCTGCCCACTATGAGCCTGCAGACCTTGCCAAGGCTCAGTAGCCTTGATGGTCACACAGAGCCCACCTGGGACAGATAGAGCACCAGCCAGCATCCCACTTCTCTGGATGAGCTCTGGACACCCTCCTTTGGCCACTTGGGGGTGCAGCTCTTGTATTTAATGGTCTTCTCAGTGTCCATTCTGGGGCTCAGCCCTCACCCCTCTACAGACCTTGGCACGCGTGAGTGACCGTGATGGTAACACACCCAGAGCATTTACAACAGCACTGCCTAGTAAGTTCTGGTTCAGTGTTGGTCATCACTGGAACAGAACTGGGGACCTGTAGGACTGAAGTCAAAGAGGCAGCCAGCCATACAGGGGTGCAGAACAAACAGAGCCAAAAACATGCAAATCTTGGGAGATGCTGAAGGAGAGAGGGCTCCATAATTACTCCTCTTCCTACATTAAGGGCGGTCCCCTTGCCCTTAATGACAAGGAATGCCATGCAGAGAGGCCTCAGGGGCTCCTACAAGACCCCCCGTGGATGCTCAATTGAGCTAATAATTATGGATACTGGGACTGAAATGCTCTGGCTTCTGTGTGCTTTTTTTTTTTTTTTTTTTAAATAAGTGAAACTCTTTGGTTTGTCCTTTAACCGGGTTCCACAGAGTAGTTTCAAGGTGGCTTGTTTGAAGGTAAGCAGCAGGAGTTTTAAGAACTTAATTTTAAGAAATTCAAAGAGCAAAGAATGCACTTTGTTCTTTGAGTTTCTTAAACCTATATTTCATGCCCTTTCATAATAATTTGTCTTTTATGGATAAAATATACACAAACCACTGAACAGGAAAAAAAGGCATCTGACATGACCTTGGTCGACCAAGTTCTTCTGTTTTTAAACGGCATGTACAGACTATATTATTAAGATTTCTATATGGCAGCATTTCCAGCACACAGGACAGCTCAGAAAGAGAATTTACCGTTTCTTTATTTCTCAGTTCAAAAATAAGGGCAAAGAAACTTACTCATAGGATATCTTTTTTTTTTTTTTTTTTTAAGGTTTTCATTTATCATCTCCTGGGGGAAAAAACTGATATAGGCAAAATCCCAACATGATAAAATCAGAACTAAAGTAACAGTGGCTGGGGCTGGGGGGAGGACCTGTAAGTGAATTATTATGATCCTAGGTCCTAAAAAAATTATTCTTCCCTGGCTCTCTCATCTGACCCCACTGCAGACTGGCTTTTGTCCACTTCACAGCGCTTGGCCATTAATGATCTCCTCCAGGCCAAGCTGCATGGTCCCTCTTCTCTCCCCGCTCACTTTAATCTATTCGTCGCTTTTGTTCGACTCCACCACCATTTTCCTCCTCCTCCATAAGCCTCGCTTCTCCTAATTTTGTCTGATCCTTTAGTCCCCCTTTTCCCTTCCGTTTCATAATATATTTTTAAAAAATAAAAATGAAAACGATAATTAGAGAAGAGAGGAAAAAGAACCCAGTCCAAACGCTATGATTTGACTGTATTTTTTCCCCCTCGCTGGCTTTTATGTCCTAGGAAGGGACATCCTTCTTTTCCTATCACACAGTTTCTTTTAATTATTTTACACGATGCCATAGAGTCTTCCTAACCTCCCTCCTTAATTGTTGTTTTTTGTTAATAATCTCTACTCTCTTTGAATCTTGCCTCCTGGGCCCTGTAAGAGAATTCACCTCTCTTCATCTTAACTCCACTGATGACCCAAAAGCACATCTCAAACTCCCCTCCTTCCCTTCATGTCCGCCTTTTGTCCTAACGACATAAATCACTAAAACAAAAACTTCAGGGCTCCTCCCAAAACACTCCAACTAGGCACTCCTGACTGTGAAAGTTAATCTGGCAATTTCTATCCAAGATGTGTTCTCTGAAATATCTAAAACCTATCTTTTCTCTAAATAATGCCTGAGATTTTTTTCAGAGTTCATAAAAAAGTGATAGGTAGGTATAGCTTGCAGTTAGCAGTTTTTAACAAGATAGAAAGTACAATATTGTTTTCCAAATTCTCTTCCAGATGAGAGAGTGAAAGATTAGCATGAAAAGAAGGATGAAAATAAATAAATAAGTATATAAAAGTCTGAGGAAGCCTCAAATGAAGCAAATTTATATAGCTTTCTTTACTGTAACTTTACTCTAGCAGAGTTGATCAGTGCTCAGTAAGTATTTGCTTATTATACAAATATGCACTGATAATCTCTGGAAATTGTGCTATTTATAATGTTTCCCAAAAGTAAGTGGCTTATTTACTAGTTAGACATCTAAACAAATATTTAAAAGACCGTGTATTGCAACGTTTTTAGACTTTATTTGAAAACTCTAAATAATCCCAACATTTATAACCTGATGTGATTAAATAAATTATAATATAATAAGACTACAGCCATTATAGATTATGATACAGGTTAACACTGACATTAAAATGTGTCAATGATACATAGTAAAAAATCAGATTACATAACACTGTAAAATCTTATATACTATCTATTTGGCTCGATCACAAAGTATAAAGGCATATACAGTATATGAGACAGATATCAGGGATGTATACCAAAAAGCTAATTGTACTTACCTTTGTCTAGTAGATTACATGTGACTTTCACTTTGTATTATACATTTTAACTTTTGTTTATTATTTTTACACTTAATATTTCTTAGAAAATATCAGTAAAGTTATTTCCATTTAAACAATTAAATATAAGGAGCATTCAGTGGAATTACATAGCGCTCAAGGGCCTTTGGTATAAAACTCCAGATAATAACAAACTATTAGAAAGCTTTTCCAAGCTGAGTATTTGAAATACAAGGTGATTTTTAAATATTCTATTTCTTTAATAGCAGCAGCAACGAAAGCATGGTGAAACCTATGTGTTAGAGCCTATTTCCCCCCTTCCCACTCCAGTTCTCAAGTGTTACTCAGCTAGCTAAAGAGTAACTTGAGCCTCCCAAAGGATGCTGGGAGGAGAGGCCAAGATCAGCCCTGCTCCTTGTCACACAGCTAGGACTCTGCACAGAAAGTGTGCCGGCTTCTGGCTCTGCATCCTCAGCTTGGTTAATGAGGCTTTGAACTCCGTACGTGTTGTGTAGGGTACCTCTATCCACAATTTGATGATTGCATCCAAGATGTCTCAGGTTAGCTGTGATAAGTGGTTTTTTTAAATGAAATGCAGGAAATGATATGAAATGAGTCAAATTATTTTTTTCTACTTCCAACATAGGTTGTAAACATTTCAACAGATAAATATGCAAATAAATAAATGCATACACTTCATATCACTTCTTTACAAGATATCAAGTGTTACCAATTTAGTTTACCCAGAAATTCTACTTTTAGGACTTAGCCTAACAAATTGTTGAAAAAGCTTTAACTGGATAAAGACACAAATTCAAATTTCAGCACTAAAATTTAAAAATCGGGACACTGACAGAAGACGACAAGGAAGCAGTTAAGTAGACGAGTGTATTATTGTAGAAACTACAACATGAAGCCGTTAAAATGATGAGCCAAATACTTAATGTCCTGGAAAAAGATTTAGAGTCTATTTCTAAGTTGAAATAACAGGCTACAAAACAGCAATATACAATATATTGTATATACAATATATTGTATATACAATATACAACATACAGATGTACAATCTAATTCCATCTTATTGTAAAATATTTATATATACATAAGGAAAGTTGTGGAGGAATCTACCACAAAGATTTTGTTTGGTAATTGCTGGGTTTGTATCTCTTTTTCAAGCTTGATAAAATTCAAATACATTACTTAAAGAGCAATAACATTAGTGGCTTTGTAAAATTTTTCCCATAGCTTATTTTCTTAATACTCTGAGTAGTATAAACAAATAATTTATGACAAAATAAAAAACATGATTCAATTAAACAATGTCTATATTTGCTTAATATGGTAGCATTAATAGTGCTATTTCTTTTCCAAAACTAATAAAATTGTGGTTAGGGGAGAAAAATATTTTTTAAACACCTTGAAAGAATGATAGTTTTAATTTGATTGTATGTGGCCATGTGTGTCTTACTATACAGTAGGTTGGCATATTAAATGGTCTAGGTACAAACCAATCTGCACAACTGAGATCAAAAAGAAATCAAGGTGTTAGAATTCTGTAGATTTAGCAGAAGCTGGAAGACTCAGCAATCCGTGTTGAGGGATGAATTCAAATAGTCTCTGCCATACCGTGTATAACTGTCTTGCCTCTAAAATCTCAAGATGAGTATAATGCTTTTAAATAAGCGAGGGATTCACAGAGAGCTGACAATTTTTATTTTGCCTGGAATGTTATAAAGAGTATTATCTATAGGGCTCCATCATTTAAAATAAAAGACATTTAACCTTGAAAATGTCTTAAGCTTGGTTCCCCCCTCCTTTAGCAGAGGTGTGTGTGTGTGTACGTGTGTGTTTTGTTTTGTTTTGTTTTGTTTTGTTTTCTCTGTAGCCCTGAGGATGAAGCCAGGCTCTCGGGTACACTAGGCAAATGCTGGACCACTGAAGTACCCTCCAGCCAACCTCAACTTGCTTTCAAAGCTTTGTAAGAGGAATCAGTTTGGCTTTATTAGCACAATCAACACATTGGTCACGTTTCTTTCATCTTGCTGCAGATCAGTGAAAACTTAGCCAACACTGGAGAGTAGGAAAACACCCCACGGCAAGGAGACAGGATGCATCTTTAGTTGTGTCCAAAAAGTAGTGATACACTTTCAGAAGACTTCAGAGTGTGAAATAGGTCTGATATCATTTCGGTGGAGCAAAGGCAATTTTATTTTTGTTTGCAGTTGGTTTAAATAATTAAACATTAAAACTAAAATGACCTCCATGACCTTCTCATGCTCCTCAAACTTCAGTCATTTATTTTTGTCGTATTTGCACGACACCTTTATGATTTAATGCTTTTTCCTTTAGGCCTCCCTCCAAGACAAATGTATCTATGAAATCAAGGGTTGATAGGCTAGCAGTACACACTTAATCACGTTACCCACTTAATCAGACTTTGCCCACTGGAGCCCACAAACCCTCCTGTAACTCACTGAGGCCCGGGGTGTTAGCTGTGTGCTCAGAATTTTGCAGACACAGATGACAAAACAGCTGACAGCAAGAGAGCAGCAAGGCGTGGTGGTGCAGACCTATAATCCCAGCACCCCGGGAAGCTGAGGCAGGAGGACCACAAGATCACAACTTGGATAATGTATCAATTTAGTGAGACTCCTCCCCCAAAAAATACTTTAAAAAAGAAAATTAATAGCAATGCCCAGGAGATTCTCTGTACAGTTTGACTGCCAATTGAATGACCTGGAAGTCAAAGATAGCATTTCAGCGATGCTGGAAGTGTCTGTGCCTGCCTTTACAATGTTACTCTTTTTTATTCTGCTCTGATCTGGCTCACCACCATCTGCCTTATATCACCCGTTCATCAAGTGACTGCTCGGAGAGATTACCTTGTGCCAACACTGCCTTACGATACAGCTTTTCTAAGGCATCCTGACTTCATGTAGTTTGCCTTCCAAAAGGGCTGCATAGCTTTCCAAATAGATGCCTTCCTTCATCTTTTGAATTTTAGCTTCCTAGAGGCAAGAATGGACTCCAGGGGCTGGGGATTTAGCTCAGCAGGCATAAGCGCCTGCCTTGCAAACAGGCAGTCATGAGTTCGATCCCTGGTACCAATTAAAAAAAAAAAATGGACTCCCAATTCCAGTCACCCACAGACCAACAAGGATATTTTACACCACTAATCAATAAAAGCATCCAGAGTGAAGGCAGGCACACATTTTCCGTTGGTTTATCCCCTGCTCCTGAAAGCCACGTTTATTATTTAGCTTTTTCACCCATTTTATTTTTTTTCACTTTTCAGTTTTTCTGATTTCAACTTACAAAATGGCACAGGAAAGACAAAGTTGTAGTTGACAGTAAACAAATATTAGCAATGAATGCAAGAAAGAAAGATGAACATTTCACCTGCCGCAAAGTGCTTTGTTTCAAAAACACACACCAGTGAAATAAATGCCTGAAACTTCATAAAAAGTAGCCTATAAGACACAGCCACGTGGAATTTAACATCTTTATGCTTCTGAAAACCATTCAAATAATCATGCAGGCCTTGAACTAAGGCATTCAAAGATCATAAGGCATCAATCCATTTGTGATCAGGCAAACAAGGAATCCTCTTTTTTCAGCTTAAGAAAATGTGTCTTCTTTGAAATTTTTAGGATCTGCTAAATCACAAACACCTAATGTCACTAAATGTTTAGCCTTTATTAGGAAACAATAAAAAGATTTTTGACTCAAATGTTGCAGAGGTTCCTCCCGGTGATGTTAACATTTGACCAGGTTTGGCTTTTGTATGGAGTGCTGGTGTCTGGCCAAGTTCAGGTTTTATGTTTATCTTTCAACTTGCAGCTATTAATTTTGCCTGCTTTATTTTTATTATATAAAATAAATAATACTGATGTATTCAAAGTTGGCCTGAAGCTCAAGCCTATAAAAGGTCAGCATAAGCCTTTAAGAGTTTAAATATTGCATCTCACCTCTTCTCTTTCTGGAACTCTGCTGTCCTTGGTGTGAATTTCCCAGCCTGGTACAGCACACTGAAATCTGCTTCCTGCGAGTTGCTCAAGGTCAGGAGTTCCCATAGCAAGGTCAAACTCCATCCCCAGGCCCCTCCTCCAGCCACTAGGTGACACTGCCTCCCTATGAATAAGCTGTCCATTGTTCTCAGCAGGAGAGAAATAAGAAACTTCTGAATCCACATGAATCTGGTCATGGGGGAGGAGGGATAAGACCTCCCAGAGAGAAAATATACAGTTAAGAAATCCAGGCGAGGACCAAATGGGGCCTTCCTGTGGGTCTTCAATGGCTCTTCATCTGATTTTCAGTATCTGATCAGAACTCTCATGTTACCTAAGTCCTGCAGGTAAAGGGATTGAAAGAAGCTTTTTTCTCTTTTCTTTTTCACCCCAAATCCAAGGAAATATGGCTCACATTTGAAGAACGGATCCATTTGTCCTTGATTATGCATTTATGTCCCCTTTCACTGGCTGCTCCCTCTTCCTCCTGGTACAGACAGTGTCTGCCCAACGAACTGGGCCCAGGCAAAGCCCCACAGGGAGCCCAAGGCTGGAGCCACCAGCCTGTGAGCTCAGCTCCACATGGGAACAAAGCTCCACTTCTGTTCCAGTCCACACCTTTGCTTGCCGGGGGGGACAACAAGCACCACAGAGGCGCCCTGGGCCACCTGGAACTCCAAGATCAAAAAGTATAACATTCCCTCTCTGAATCAACCTCGAAAACTTACATCGCTTTTACCATCACTTATCCTCCATCAGAACAAAGAGCCAATCAATAAAAAAATTGATTTCTCTAAACTCTTCATCGATTTGCTACCTACAGCTATTTGTTCCTTCTCTGATAGGCTGTAACGAAGTCCAGGGGCTATGTCAAAAACACCACCAGTGTGACAGACTTAAAATGTGATTCGCCCACTCGTATTTCAGTCACTCAGGAAATATTTCAGAATTCAGCCCATCAGAAGTATCATGCCATCCACTGAAGAGACTACGAGCTACATAGAAATATGCCATTTTCCTTTCAAGAACTTTGAATCAACATAGTTTTATGTTATTAATATGCAATATTAGTATCATACTATAATGGTGTTACTAATATATTATGTTGTTCATATCATCACATATTGTTGCTATCATAGTAATGTAACACTGTGGTGTTATAATCATAGTATACAGCTTTCTGTACACACGCAGTGTATATTGTATATAAACTTGATTATGCACCCACACGGCACAGACAAGGCCTAGCTGATGAAGGAGAGGTTGATGGGGAGAAATGCCGGAGACAGCTTCTCAGAACAGCTGGGATTCAGATGAATAAGATTTCTAGAGCCAGAAAGAAGAGCTCAGCCGTGATGGGTCAACAGTGACGGTGGCCTCAGTAGCCAGGGTCACTGTGCAGCAGTTATCTGAAAGCAGCATGTTGACAGCAGAAACTGGCCACATGGAAGAGAGAGAGGCCGGAGAGATGGAGCTCACTCTAGACTCATGTATTTCAGAAATCGGGACCATTTGTGCTAGGAGCCCTCAAGGTCCCTGCATGGTGCAAATGTCACCTCAGTTAACTTAGCCCCTTTGCATTTGGGGGCCCCACAATGCTAAGGCTCAGTGTCTGGCAGGGGCAGGAGCACGTGGTCCTTGGTCATCTGTGCGCACTGACCCCTGGACAGTGGTGCTTGTTCTTCCTCCAGTGACCGCTTGGATGAGGTCTTCTTCTGCCGTGGTCGTAGCACAAAGGACCACAGTTATTGCTCCCAGATCTAGGACCAAGTAAACCCTGGGCCTGCTGGGGCTCATTCTTTACATGCACCTTCCTAGCGTGTGATCACGGAGCAGGCAGGGAAACACTCTTTGCTCGGCCTCTTTTACAAGGGCACTAACCTCTTTCATAAGGGCTCCAACCTCACCATCTAACCCATACCTAGGCCACTAGTTTAGAAGTCAGGATTTTAACACACAAACTTCAGGGTAAGACAAATGTTCAGGTCACAGTAGGTGGCCCCCTTGCTCTCTGCAGTTGCTGCTGAGCAGGGAAAGTCACGTACTTTCTGTGGGACGCCTCAGGAAGGTTTCCGTCATTTCTCCCACACACCCCTCCCTATGGCACAGGGGACTCTGGGGTCTGTGTGTTACCAGGACGCAGATGATCTCTGTCCTGAGGTGGTGGTGCATGCCCTTTCCTCACAACAGCACAGCTGCTTCCCTCTGGCTTTGTTCCCTGCCCTCCCTGACCCCTGAGCCTGGGCCACGCTTCCTGGGCAGCCCTTGTCCCGCAGCATCGCAACTTTATTACAGTCAGAGCCTACAGGCCCGGAAGCTTCTGTAATTCAAAGCCCAGGTTTCTGAACACCAAGCACCTTTCCCCTCCTGTCTGTGGTGTGATTTCTTCCCCAAGTCAGCGCCACCAGGGTCAGAGGCAGAAGCAAGTGCAGAGTCCAGGCGTGAGCCTGAGCTAACATTGGGTGTGACCCCACCGTGCCGTGCAGCGGGCTCTGCACTAACAGGGACACAAAGCTGGAGGCTCAGGGGCAAAAGTGGAGATGAAAGGACAGGAAACAGGAAACACAAGGGCAGAAACAGCAAGATCGGGTTCGTGGCTTAAACAGAGAGCTGAAGCTGCAGAGATGAACTTGGGGGACTGGATGGAGGTGGCACCAGCACTCCTTAGGCATGGTGCACAATCCCTGCTCCTTTCTCTTTGCCTGTCCCAGGTCCCATTGATGACAAGGTCAATTCTCACGCCTCCTCCCCGTTGCCACTGTTACAGCCTTGGTTCACGCCAGTCACATTTCTCCTCCACGTCTGCCCATATGCCGAGTCCCACTTCTTGGTACTCTCGTCTCAGTCCCGTCTAAGTCATTCTCCATTCAGCCGTGCCAACGACCTGTCGGGAGCGAAAATCTGATCATGTCTGCCCAAAGCCTCCTGGTCTCCACAGCACCACCCCACGCCTACTCACGCCGGCTCGCCCCTGCTTGGAGGCCTTCTCCCCTGACACACACCCCTGGCTTGAGGCTGTGCTTCTGGCTGGAGAGAAAGGCAGCTTTCTGTGGTGGAGCTGTCCAAGGCACGGGCTCAAGGCCAGAGCTCTTGCATTTGCTTGAACAAGAAATTTAACGTCAGGGCCTCACCCATAAAATGTCAGCAGGAGGATTAAGTGGGAATGTATATTAAAGGTGAGCCTGGGACTTGCTCTGAGCTCTGTAAGTAATTAATGGCTATCAACTAGAAGGAAAAAAATCATTCCAGCCTTGCCAGATTCTCTCCGATCCCAGGGAATTTCCACTGTAAAGTGTTTTTGCGGGGGGCCCCCTTTTCCTTGTCCGATCTTTATTCTTCATTTTACAAGGGGCTCAAATGTCAGATTTCAACTGTACTTTGTTGGCAGAAGAGGGCGCTATTCACATTTTATTGTTTTACAGGGTGCATGAGTTTCCTATGGCTGCTGTGATAAGATCACCACAAACAGGAGGGCTCAGGACAATAGTGGCTTCAATGCGGGGGCTTCTGCTCCCTGCCAGGCTCTGGTGGTGCCTGGCACTCCTTGGTCCATGGCCTCATCAGCCCAGTCTCCGTCTCTTGGTCATATGTACATCTCCTCTTCCGTCCACATCGCATTTGCTTCTACTCTCAGAAGCCTCATGCTTGTACTGAGGACCACTTGGGTAACACAGGTTGCTCCTTCTAGTACCAATCCCTCGTTTAAAAGTTCTACAAAACCCATGTAGTGTATTTTGCAACCTTCACAGACTCCAGGGACAGGGCCTTGAAGTCTTTGAGTGTTGCTTTCAACTCTGGAGGACTAGGGTGGATCCCAGAGGAACCCTGTAATAGTAATATGCACTCAGTCAGTGGAACACACACAGAGGCACAGCAGAGGTACAGGCACCCCCGTCCCTGTTTACCGGGATCCCTTCCTCGATAAGGCTTTATTTCCCTGGCGCCGTGCTGTTTCCTCCACATGCTAATCCCCACTTGGAAGGATGTTTTGCTCCTGCATTTGATCAACTTCCCTGCTGGAGAGAAGGAGCCGAGGGGCCCGCGCCCTGCATCGCATCTCCTGGGCCTCAAGCTCCTCTCCAGGCCAGCTCTCTGCGAAGGGGCGGTGGGGAGCCGAGGCCCCTGGCAGCACTAGGGCTCCCGTCATGGAATGTGAGAGCTCAGGGTGGCAGAGTGACAAGAATGAGCTGCATGGAGAGTGCTGTCATCAGTCTGGCCCGGCGGCTGGGCTGCTAGCCCCACGCTGTTTATTTTAAACACAGCTTTCCCCATCACTGCAGCTCCTAAATCTTCAGCCACTGACTGCTTCAGCGGCTGTGTCCCCAGCTCAAGTCGCTTAAGTTCACCCCCGGGATTTTTCCGAGTTGAGGCTGCTGCTTTTCCGGAGTCCTAGGACTGCCGCCAGTGCCACCCCTGCAAGATGAGGGTGCCACACTCTACTTCCTGGGAAGATGGCTCTGTGGCTTGCTCCTCGGTTGCTGGAATCAGTCCCAGTATTTCAGTAAGAAATAAATAAATAAAGCTACTCATAACCTTTAAAAAACATAGACAAGTTCATTACTTTGGACAATAAATCCTTTGAAGTATAAATCGTCTACCATATTATAAGTCATATGTTGTTTGCTTATTCATTTTGTTTGGTTTGCTTTGTTTTGAGATGGAACTTGCTGTTCAGTGCAGGGTGGCACTGAACTCACTAGGTAGCTCAGGCTGGCCTTGAATTCGCGGCAATCCTCCTGCCTCAGCTTCCTGAGTGCTGGGATTACATCAGACTGTTTACTTCTGTGTTGGTCTTTTCATCTCTGCTAGAGCTCCCTGAGATTACAATGTTTGTCTATTTAGTTTTTTTGGGTATCGGGAATCAATACAATGTTTAAAAAGCAAAATTATAGAGCCCAGAAGTATCCAAGACTCACATAGGCAGTAAGACATCCAGAAACTTCCAAGGCAGGAGAAACTTTCCTTCCCATTCGAGAGACAGATTTCCCTTCACAGTGGGCAGCACTGACTACGGCAATGTGGTCTGTGACTCACTTAACATGGTGGCTGGAATTTGGCTCAGTCCACCCTGCAGCTTGGTTTTTCAGTCTCCTCTCCATTATTGTAACAAAACCCCTGAGGCTTGGTAACTTACACAGAGGTTTACTTAGCTGGCAATCCCATGGGTCCAAAAGCCTGGCACCAGGACTACACGGCTTCTGGTGTGCTGGCCCAAACACAGTGGAGAAGCAGGCAGGCAGGTAGTGATGCATGTGAAGAGTTCACTTGGCCAGGGAGATGAGGGCAACTCTCTCCTGGGGTACAGAGCTCATCCGGGGAGATTCAGTCTAGACTTACAGCACTCAGTCCCTATAAATCCCTTTGTGGCTGGAGCCCCAGGGCCTAATCACCTCCCTGAGGCCCTGGCATTGCCACATTGAGAGTCTGGCTTCCGCCCAGAGTCTAGGGACACTGGACCAAGGCTTTTTCCTGCACCCTGCCAGCCCTGGCTCGTTCCACTCTCTGCCCGTCACTGCCTCGCCGGCTTTTAACCTGGTCACACTTCCTCCTGCCAGTCTGCTCCCCCCACTTTGATGCCTTTCCTCCCTCTTCCCTAGCCGGATGGATCTTGATCGTTGAGGTCTGAAGCACATCTCTCTCTGGAAACTCCCAGCAGGGCTTATCCCTCAGTGCTGTGCCTGGGTGTGATCTGAGCATCGAGGAGATCCCAGCTGACTGTTCCATAGAGGCAGGAATGAGTCAGCTGTCGTCACCGTCCTATTTCCATCCCCTCCCGAGGTCCCAAAACCACTGAGTAATCGCGTAATAAATATTTATAGGTCAAAGGAAACCATCGCAGATTCTCGATCTAGCGCAGCCTCTGTCAGGTGTGGCATCCCACTTGCCTCATTGGTGAAAAAATGCCTCTTCTGTTCCAAAAATTCTGGGGTATTTATGGCTCCTGTCTTGAACACACAAAGCCGGCCAGGTTAGCGCTATAGTGCCAATCCGATGCCTGCAAGTCATCTTCCACATACAAAAACTGTCCTACGTGCCCTGCTGGAATTGCCCCAAACATCTCCATCTTTCTCTCTGATGTCACTGGTCTTGATTTCTTTTTCCTCTTTCCTTCTGTTTTGCGACAGTCTCAATATGGACTCTACAGTGGCTTTACGCTTGTGGGCCTGAGGCTGCAACTCATATCAGGAGAAGACACGTTTCTGCAGCAGTCCCTTATCCTGGAATCCTTCCTCCCCTGAAACTTTGGGGCTTGGGGTACCAGCCCAAGCAGGGCGCTCAGCTCCCCCAGGTCCCTGACTGCCCTATGTCTTTCTCTGCTGGGGACGGTCTTTCCTCTGTCAGATGGTGAACTCCTGCCCAACTTTCGGGTTCAGCCAGAACAAATGTCACTTCAGTGTAGCACCTGCCTGAACGATCCCAGGTCTGAATGTGTCACTTGTTGCCTGTATTGCCACGGAATATTTTGCATAGCCGACAGTGACATTTATCTGTGTGAGCTGTGCTGTTTTGCCAAAAAGACATTGAGAGGAGAGAAGCACGCGGCCTCGACTTAGAAACCCTTCTTTCTGAATCTTGGTCTCCTAATATTAGAATCAGGGGACGTAATGTGTGTCACTGGGCCAGATTAAACAAAACTAGGTGTCTACTGACTTAGCACAATGTCTGACCCACAGCATTCAACAACAAACAGCAACAACCAGGGGTATCTGGTGGTTCTTTCCATCCCAGCTGGGGCGCAGTCAGCCTGGACTTCTTAGAATGCCGGCAGCGAAATCCTATCCACAGTGACCTTTCCCTGGGGGAGGGTCAGAAACTGATGTATTTTGTCATTAATAAAGGAATTGTACCGCAGAGCCAAAAATCTCATCGATCCTATACTGTTCTCCAAATCACAGGCGTCTTTCATTTGCCAGATCCAGCCCTGAACGTTATGGGTCGCAGCTGGCCGTCACCGAGCTCCTGGCCAAGTTCTCTCCACGCCGTCCCCCTGCTCCGCGTGCGCAGCAGCTCCAGCCTAGCCAGCTACCTGGCAGAAGGCGGCTTCTGTTCTGTCTCCTCTGAATCACACAGGCAGGCGCGTGTGCAGGATTCATCAACACGGCTAGGCACTGTTTTAGCGCCTCTAGACCTCACTCCATTGCCTTTTCCAAGGGCAGGGTGGGGGACCAAGCTCATCGAAACCTCGCCGGGTCCAGCTCCCGGCGGGTTGTGACCGCCGCCTGGCACAGAGTCCGAAGAAGCGTCCACGTCCCTGCCCGCCCGGCCGCCCTCGCTCCTCCGCAGAGGCCGAGAGAGCGGCCGCGGCGCATTTCCTCTTCCGTGCTGCAGCTCGCGTCCACTAGGGGGGCGCGGGGCCAACTGCGCTCTCGCAGGGTGACGAACCCGGGATCGCGCACTTTAACCCGTGCCACCCCAAACTTTTCCATCAGCGCCCCCTCTGCCAGTACCCTCGGGGCTCCGAGGCGGCCCTCCTAGATGTGTGGCCAGGCCGTGCCAGCACGCAGGGCTGAGGGACGGTCTTGATCCCCTTCCGTGCGCCGGGGCGGAGGTCCTCGGACACCTGGCCCTGGGCTCCCCGCGGCGCGCACCCGGTGACGGGGACCGCGGCGCCCTGAGCTGTAGCTGCGCGGAGCAGCACCGCGGTGGGCGCGGGCCACTGTCCCTCCCTCCCCTTGCCTCCCCTGGGGCGCGCGGGCGGGGCGGGGCCGTCCCTTCCGGGGCGCCGCCACTCCCACCCCCCCGCAGCCGGTGACGCGCGCGGGAGCCGCAGCCGGGCGCCGTAGCCACCATGCGGGCCGAGGGCCACGGCGGCCTGGAGCGCTTCTACAGCCCGGGCAAGGGCCGGGGGCTGCGCGCCCTGCAGCCCTTCCAGGTGGGCGACCTGCTCTTTGCCTGCCCGGCCTACGCCTCTGTGCTCACGGTGGGCGAGCGCGGCAGCCACTGCGAGCACTGCTTTGCCAGGTAGGGAGCCTGGCCTGGCCGGCGGGGGGCGGGGGGAAGCCGGGGCGGGGGGAGGACTGGGGCAGAGGACGCGGCGAGGGGCGGGAGAGGGGTGCGGGCCGGGCGCGGGGACGCGCGTGGCCACGTGCGTGCGGCAAGAGTCGCGGGTGCCGGCCGCCGGTGCTGGGCCCCGCGTGGGCTCCATCCGCGCCGCCCACCCTGCCCCCGGCTCGTCTCACCCCCTGGGGCTGGGCGTCTGGATCTGCAGCGTCCCCTGCCGGCTGCGGCTTTCTGCTTACGAGGTCCCGGGTCGTTGGGGCTTCCTGGGTCCCCTGGAGGGTGCTCAGGAAAACACAGTCGCCGGGCGGGGGAATTGGGCAAGATGCACGGTGGAGACCATGGGAATGGTAGCGTGCGGTGGTCCTGTCTGTGTCCCTGTCACAGGCAGGATGTGTCCATGTAAAGTCACATGCACGGAATCTACCAGTTTCAGAGTGAAAGGCAAACACCCTTACAATCCTGCCTCCCCGTCATTCTGCACGTGACAAGACTAAAGCCAGACAGGAAGTTTTGTTTTGTTTTGTGTGAGACAGAGGTCTGCTATGTAGTTTGGGCTGGTCTTGAACTCACTGGGTAGTCCAGACTGGCCTGGAACTTGCAGCGATCCTCCTGCCTCAGCTTCCACACAGGCAGCATGGCTGGCTGTAGCTGCCCACACCATTCCTTAGGGGCAGGAATCCCAGGTTGAACCCTGCTATTGCCAGCTGGCTAGATGCACTAAGGTGAATCCACTAAGGTGGGGTTGGACCAGTGCTGTCCGGGAAGAGACGTGGCTATCACTAACCCTCATGCCAGCCATTCCACTGCACCCCACTTCATCCTTGCCATGGAGGTTTCTGGGTTAGGCTGAAGACTCGCCCCTTTTTGAGTGTGCTTCGCAAGTGCAGCCTCTGCTGAAGCTCTGAGTCTGCGGGACCCGCGCGCCTGGTTCTGCAGTAAGACCCAGCAAAGGAGGGACAAAGGCTGAAAACGCTACCGTAGTAATCTTGTCCGGACTCCCTGCCAGAACTGCCATCCGCTTGGGGGGAACCTGGAAAGGAACTAGACACAGAATCATGCCGTGGGCAGCCGAAGGGCTGTATGTGATGTGGCTCTTTGAATTGGTGAGCCAGGAGCTAAAGGGTCATGGCACCACTTTGCGACGTTTGAGTGAAGTGAGCATTGGGTTTTCCCAAAGTTAAAAAGGCTGCTGAGACTGGTCCCTTGATCTTCTGAGCCTCTCTGTGGCTGGGAGTCTGCGGCGGCAGCGTGGGTGTCTGCGTGCAGGAGTGGAGCGGATCACCCAGCTCAGAAGGGGCCCCCACCGGGGGTCTGGAGACTCCTGGAGGCCACCGATGGGAGAGAGCGCCTGGTGGGCGCATAGTAGGGGTGCAGGCAGCACCTCGAGTCCTGTGCCCTGATGAGGCAGAGAGTGTCACATCTCCGGCTGTAACAGGGAGGAGCAGTTCTGAGCTTGCTTCTCTTCAGCTGGCTTTACAGTGTCTGCTGCGCACCCCAAGCTTGGAATAGCAGTGTCACTTGGTGGCAGCTTCAAGGATCATTCTGCCTCAGTTGTCCTGCCGCTCACCACTCTTTTTTTATTTGTTTGCATTTTTCTGATTGACATGCATGGCCCCTGCAGGGGAATCCAGGAGCAACCTGTACTCCTGGTTTGGGTGAGCTTCAAATCCTGGCCAGGGTCAGTAGCAGTCTACTGAAGTAACATGTGAGGAGTGCTGTTCCTTGGTGCAGGCCTTTAGAAACGTCCTCATGCCCAGCTCTGGTTTCTGTGAAGTCTGATTAATTGGTAAATCATAGTGAGACCATTTCAATAGCAGCACCCGCTTCTTGGTCACCTATTTGTAGCACCGAGGAAAAGTGAGAACTCAGGGTGCACCCCAAGGCCTCCGAGGAAGAGCAGAATCCTGCACATGGTTCTGCCCCCCAGTCACCACCCAGGGCCTCTCCCCGGCCACATGCCGGATAGCAAGCTGCTCCATCCTTTCCTATGCCGGAAGTTTAGACAGGAGCACTTCAGATAAATGAGCCCCCTTGCCCAAGTTGTATCAATTGTATCAAAATTTTACTCATTTTAAAGGGGAGGGGGAAAGATGTCTTCAGAAGTAAGTATATTTTATAAGCTAAAAATAACAGGAAATTTCTTAGCTGTGTGTGGAAGCAGCTTGTTACTCCCAGGACAGTCTGAAGACTTGTTTCTGGGAGGTGTGAACCTGTGTCACCTTCTCTTCATTGGGTGGGTGGTGGTTGGGAAATGTGTGTCTTGCCTCAGCTGCTAAAGAAGCTTCTGAAACCACAAGCATCAGCCCCATGCCGTGGTGTATGCCTGTGATTTCCAGCATTTGGGAGGCAGGTGGATCTCTATGAGTTTGAGGCCAGCCTGGGCTACATAGTGAGTTCAAGGCCAGCCTAAACTATACAGTGAGACCCTGTCTTAAAAATTAATGAATGAATTAAATAAAATACAAGTGTCTCTGTTGGGGCTGTCCTTACCACGGCCATGTCCTTCTTAGGTACATTTTAACATGCATGTGCTTGTCTGTCTACACACGTTTTGGTCATTGATGAATTGCTATGGTGGAATTTTAAAGCTGCTTAGCTTCAAAGTCGGAGGCTGGCCTGCTTGAACACCTGGTGTCGTTAGCCTGTGAAGGGCACACTTGCACCTGTTACCTGTGTTTCAGTGGAAAAGCTTATACCTGCAGGGTCCTTGGCCAGCACTCGACCCCGCCAGGTCCTTATTCTTGGGGCTCCCGAGCCACTCAAAGACAGGAGGGTAGCAATGCTGTGTTTGCTGCCCCTGAACTGGGGGACATCGGCCGATGGGGCTTTTTTGGGATCAAGCGGGGAGAACCTAGGGTTTCAGTGGATTTCTTTCATGTCTGGCTCACTTAGAGTGATTATTTTAAAAACTGGAATGTTTTGTGTGATTAAGGTATTCTGTTATAAGCAGTTAAAAAAGTTTTTTTCCTCTAATGTCCTCCAGATTGATTCTTTAGTGGTGTTTATCTTTTCTGTCTTGTTTCAAGCTGGCAAAATAATCTTTAGCTGATCTTCACCAGTATTAAGAGCCATGAATGTGTTGTTTGGTTGGCACAAGTTCTCGCTATGTAGCTCAGGCCAGACTTGAATTCCTAGCAATCCTCCTGCCTCAGCCTCCTGTTTCTTAAACTTAGCCGAAGGCGCTCTGGTTCAGGCTGCTGAAACTGTGCTTTGGAAAAAGATATTGTCTGCAGCACCCTTGGGATTCCTGTTGCTCTGAAAAGGTTCTCTGAGGATTGTGGGGGAGAAATGACCTCAGAGTTTCATTTTTGTAAATGAAATAGTGAGCAGATACATTGAGAGGCAGGCCCCTGTCCTTGGGTATGTTTATGTAAAGCGCATAGAAGAGTTAAGTACCCAGCAGGTGGGTTGTGGTGGCACAGGCCTGTAATCCCAGTACTCTGGGAGACTGAGGCAGGAGGACTGCAAGTTCAAATGCACCCTGAGGAATTTAGCAACCTCATGAAACCCTGTTCCAAACAAAAAAAGGAGCTGGGGATGTAACTCAGCATGAAGGCCTTGGATTCAATCCTCAGCACCACAGAAATAAAACAAAAACATATGTATTTCTCCTAGCGTACGTCCTGCTGAAGCAAGCACACATCTCCTCTAGAAAGTTCTATTAAAGACAAGAGTCAGATGTCTACATTTTCTGGGATCAAACGCTGTGGCTTCTGGGACATAGTTACAGGGGTGCAGTTAGGGCAGGGGTGCTGGAAGGAGTCACCCCCAACAGGACCCCTGGCTAGAGCCAACCCAGCTCCTCTCCTGTGGGTCCCCAGAATAATAATAATCATGAGGACCCTGAGTGTTTTAGGTTTTCAACATGGATCAAAACTGCTGCAACAGACATGCAGGTAAACACCTTTCTAGCTGGGTGTGGCGGCACACACCTGTAATCCCTGCACTTGGGAGGCTGAGGCAGGAGAATCGCCATGAGTTCAAGGCCGGTTTGGCCTACATAGTGAGTTCAAATCCAGCCTGAAGTGTAAAGTGAGACCCTGTCTCAACAAACAAACACCTGCTTTCTAACTTCAAAGCACCCTTTTAACATGAGATGAAGCAAATATTTTAAAGCAGAAATGAAAGAAAACATAGTTTTCCTTTTGGTTTTTTGAGACAGGGTCTTGCTGATCTTGAACTCTGTAGCCCACACTGGCCTTGAACTCACAATGATCCTCCTGCCTCAGCTTCCTGAGTGCTGCAGTTACCAGCATAGGCCACCATGTCCGGCTCAGATTTTCCACATGGGATACAGACTTCTCATCCGCTTTACCTCCTGCATGGTTCTTTGAATGGGAGCAGAGATCTGACCTTAAGGCCACATGGACCAGGTTCTCCATAGGTGGGGAATATAGTCTCTGTTCCGGTTTATGTAGAGGCCCAGTGACCGCCTAGTGTGGAAGCCATTTCGGATGAAAGAGGTGGCAGCAGCAGCAGGAGAGTTAAAGCCCCGCTGACGCCTTCCCCTTCTTAGAGTGAGGCTCAGGATTCTCTCCATCAGAAAGGTCTGCAGCCATGTGGAAAACGACATCCCTGCCAGTTGCATCACGCTTTGCAGCCCCTCAGGTGCTTCTAGGTTCTTACTTGGATCCTGCCAGGGATGTCGATGTAGATAGGGCTCTGTCCCATTTTACATAGGAAGACATGCATGTTTAAAAGACGAAGCCCTTTCCCTCTTCTGTCTGTGGCTTTGGTCCTGTATTGATTGATTTTCTCCTGAGGGCCTGGCTTTGTGACCTGTAGGGTCCAAGCCAGTCTTCCTACTCAGAGACTTGGTTCCTGCACCTCTTTCAGTCTGAAGCTGCTGAGTGCTGCAACTCAGTCTGCTTAAATTTACAGGTTTCTCACAGGACTTGGGGGACTCAGTCTGGCTCTCAAGTCTTCCTAACCCAATGCAGTTTTGTTCTGTTTAATTTGCC